TATTGTGACATTAATATGGTTAAGTGCGACGAATTATAATAGATACATAGGTAAAATTTTAGATTAGGATATGAATTTTAAAAACATATATTAAAAATTTAAAAGGTAAAAAATTGTTGATGTTCCTAGAGGTCACTGGTTCGAGCATCAGCGACTGTAAGAGTGATTGAATGTTCATTATCAAATGGTTGAGAATACATAAAATAGATACTACTTTGTAATCACCTTTAGCTTGATAAAAAAAATATTATTAATAGAAAATATTTAAATTATATGAAAATTTAAGTTTTTTGAAAATAATCGTATCCAATATCCTTCGGTCTATCCCAAATTATAATATCTGAAAAAATATTTTGAGTGAATAATTCATATTATGCATATACAAGTACTTGTGTATATGTATATGTGTATGTGTATAAATAAAAAATAACATGAATATGGAAATTATATAGTTCAGTAATAGATTTCTACTTGTCTTGCTGCTTCGATGTATAAATCTAAATTAAATTACTAAAGTTTACATGAACATATAATATTATTAATAATGTAAAAAAATAACACTAATGATATTACACGTGGATTTTTGGATTAATATGAAAATAAAATAAAATAATTTGTATCGACAATTATTAGAACAATATTTATAAAAATATAATTTAGGATTGATATAATATTATACATGTAAAAGGGTTGGTGGGAAGAAATGAATTAATTTAATGAATTGTTAGATGAGTGAGAGAGAGAGAGTTTAGGAGTTTTCGTGAGAGCAGGTAAAAGTGTGGCAGCACAAGTCATCCAAAATTAGAGAAATATCTATTTATTTTATAGGTAATAATATAGTAAATTGTAATTAGACACAATTTAGTAGGACTGAATAATTAAAATTAAATAAATAAACAAAATTTAAAATTATTACATTAATTATTACACATTATTATTTTAGTTCTTACACTTCATCTACGGATTCAAGAGCGTAACAAGATATTCTTATTACAACTACAAATAATTATACTAAAATTCAATTATTTAGTAACTTTCTAATCATACATGTAATTATATATAAGGTAACTTACACGACCAATCACTTTTATTTTTAGTCATCGATGATTGAGGCATTAACGTACTCTCGTTAATTTGATAGTATGACATATTGACAAAAAAAATTAATTTTAAATTTAACCCCTGAAGATCCTAAAGTTCATTTTTTTTACCCTTAAAAAAACTAAAATTTTATCTAACCCTAAACTTGCTGTCGTGGTCACCTTTAACCACCATCCATATATCTTAAGCGAAAAGGAATTCCGAAGAGATTGAGAACTATTTCGAAAACTACAACTATGTCGGAATTCTGTTGTAAAGGGGGTAATAGTAGTAAGTTTGCAATTAGAGGAATGGAAGAAAGGTGCACGACAACGTTAGGTCTTTTCAGGACGACAATACGAAGAGTGAGGCAATAAGTAGTAAAGGCAGAGAGCGTAGGTCAAGAATGGGTGAGGGATGGCATCAGAGTCGATAAGGTAAACGATGATGGTTTTAGTCGATAAGGTAAACAACTATTAGGGTTGTTACCGTTGAGATTGGAATTCTAGAGAATGATGAGAAAGGCGACGGTGACGGTTGCGGTGCAATCCTATTCGTCGGGCTACTAGAGGAGTAAGGTTTATTGCAGGTGCCCTTGCCGGGTTGGCAATTGGAAGCATGATTGCTGCGATAGAACCTAACCTTTCTGGAGTTCTTCTTTGTCGGAGATAATGCGGACAATGAAGAAAATGGTAGCAATAAATTTAAGGTTAAGATTTAGGTTTTAGAAGAGAAGGTTTTTTTTTAAAGATGATTATTATGTTCTTTTGAATAAAATTAAAAAATTAAAGCTTAAGGTCAAATTTAAAATTAATTTTTTAATTAATATGTCACATAATCAAATTAATGAAAACTGACGAATCAGTGATTAAATTAAGATAAATTTATAATGTAAGTGATTAAATCATTACTTTTTGAAATAATACAAACTGAAAGTAAAAGTAATCATCCGTATAATTTACTTTTTATATATGATGTTGAATATAAATGTTCTAATAAATTTTCATATAATATATTGTAATTATTTCGTATATAAAATTATCAGATCCATGCTTATTATAACCACATCTTTCCTATATATTTTTCTTGCTCGGTGAAGTTATGAGCTGTGCTTTTGGTTAGATTAGATCTGTGCTTTCTGTCTTATAATTTTTAACCTTTTTAATAAAATTGGTTGGGTTGAGTTGTATCTGTTTCGACTCTGATGACTTGATTCTATTAAAATTTTAAAAAATATATTTTCTAGTTATTTTATATTTTATTAATAAATTTATTTTTTATTAATTTGAAGTAAGTACAATATAGTATCTGTTCAAAAATAATTCTGAACTATTTGACATTATGGTTAGAAAAAATGACTTGGAAAGTGAATTTTTATCCGGGAATCAATGTTAAACAACCAAAAATTGATTTAAAATTATGGTTAGAAAATTGATTTGCAAAATAACCTCAAAAGCTCAAATTTTTTTATTTTGCTGTGGTAAATCATTTTTAGGGTGAAATTATATTTTTATCTTCAAATACTATATTTTCACTTTACAGTATAATGTGTAAAATAAATATTTTATCTTTTCAAAATCATTTTTAATGATAATCCTAAACAATCAAAAATTAAACTGCATTTTTCAAAAATACTTTTAAAAACATTTTTTATAGTACTTTTCAAAAGTAATACCAAACTAGTCTTTAGATTAAAAATGCACTAATAATAAGAGGATTACATTATACTAAAATAAAGATAGAGACTAGTTTTCTAAGTTGAATATAATACAGGGACTAAAATCATAGTTTAACATTTTTTATCTATGACTAAATGACTCAGCCCTTGCACAAATCTTATCTAACTAGATAATAGTAGTTTGATTTTGTAAGCATGTATACTATAAAATTGATATTATATTAGATTATATCATATTCTTAAAGTATTTTATGTAGAATTCTATATCTATAAATAAGCTTAATACAATAGGAGTATAAACTATATTTTCAATTAATTTTAAGTGATTATAAAATTAATAAATGATTATAAGTAGAGTGATAAGAGATTTGTGAAGGGATCTATTAATTATTATTGTTATTATTTATAAATAATTATTTTGTTATTTTATTTAAGATAGGCTATACGTTTAATACCTAAACTATTACTTTTGTTTTGTTTTCGTACTTAATATTTTGTTTTTCAGAATCATACATGACGTTTAGTTTAGTTTTCATTTTGGTACCCATCCGTTAAAATCTTAACAGAATAGTTGTACGTGGTATTTTTATGGTAAATTACATCATTCATCACTCACTATCTTCTCACTTCTATTTGGTCATTGAAGTTTATTTTTTTAATTTAATCACTTAAGTTTCAAATTATTCCTATTTAAATCACCTATATTATTTTATTAATATGAGAGGTTTATGATTTTAGGTTTGGGTATAATTTTAATTTTTATTTTAATATATTAATAAAAATAATACTAAAAATGTCATGTCACAAAAATTATTAATAAAATAAATTAGAATTATTAAATGAATAATTGAAAGTTGAGAAAAATTGAAAATTTTTAAACTATTTATCAAAATAGGTACCTAAAATATTATCTTTTTATCTAAGTTTAAAATATTTTTTGGTCAAGTAGGTACCTAATTTTTTTATCTAGGTATGTAATATATTTTTAGTCGATATAACATGTCAACTTTAAATACCTAGATAAAATTTTGTATACTTTAAATACATACTTTTGATTATTTAAATATTTAAATATTTAAATAACAATATATATATATATATTTGAACTAAAATATGATATTTTAGATATTTGTTTTTGAAAATAACTTTCATAATAATAAAGACAGATTAATAAATTATATTTCTCATGTATTAACTTTTTAGAACGAAATTTCCTTACCATTAAAATCCATAAAATTAAAAATTAAAAAAATGAAATTCATTGGTCTAAATTTTTTCTCATGAGGACCGAGGAGTTTACATTACATGAATGGACTAACTTGACTTTGCTTGGATCTACAGATTTAGGATTTAAATAAAAAAATATATTTAATGATATATAATCATAGTGAATTAGATAACATATCTATTAAAATTAACAATTTTTAAAAGATGTATTTATACTTTTTTATTAGTTTTTGTGTAATTTACTGTAATAATATAGATTTATTGAATAAATTTTCAGAATAAACACTTGATATTTTTTTTATTAGTAGTTTGTGTAGATAACAAAGCAACGGGTCTTGTTCTCCCCAATCTCGATTATCAAACTAACAAACTGTCTTTTTCAAACTGGGTATGTTTGATTCCAATTCACAACTTCTCTAAATTCTCAAAAATAAGTAAAAAACATTAACACCCTTTCCTTGAATTTTTTTATTATTTTATTATTAGTTGAAGCAAGCAAAATCATTTTGTCAGCTTCACTTTGAGTGCAAACGGGTTCCATTCTGTCCATTTTTGTGTGTTCAGTTTTCATATTGTTTTCAAACGGGTAAAGCTTGGATTTTTAATCCGTTTTCTGAATCATGTGGTTCTTGTTGTTTGTCTTGGGGAAATGGGGTTTTGATCATTAAGTTTTTTTGTCTGAAGATTGTAGATTGAAAAGAGCATATTTGTTTGTTTCTTTTAAGGTTTGTGTTGTGGTTCATTTCATTGCCTTCTTTAATTTTCTGGAATTTAGAGTTTCAACCTTAGCTCCATATGTTTATTATTGATTATCTGCTGAATGCTCGGGATTGTTTGAGTTGTGAGGCATTGATTTTCTTTTTCGAACTGAGATTAATTGTAATTGTTGCTCAGAAAATTAGAATTAAGGGTTAAGTTTTCTGAAATGAATTCATGTCAGGAGTTTCAAGCTTAGCTTGCACTGTTTTCAGTATATTCAAGAAGATTTCATTCTCTAATTGATTATTGTCCTGAATTGCTAAAGAGGTTGGAGTTATGAGGTCAATGATGTTTGCTTTTCCAAACCTGGATTCATGGTAATTGTCTATTCGAGGTTCTAGATGTCGAAAAATCGAAATAAGGGTTAAGTTTCATGTTGAAGAAACGTTAGTTTCTGAAATGGATTCATGGCTTGTTGCAGCAGCAGCAACTGCTGGGTGTTTTGCTGAATATTGGCGTAATCACCGTAGGTATAGGACTAGCTATCCTGAGTTAAGAACTCAAAAGGCTGAAATTGGGACCGGTCCCTTCTGCGGATCGGCTCCGAGAAGCAAACTCCAGGGCGATGTTTATTCAAAGGAAGAGATGTTTCAGCTGAAGTGGATTCCGCTAGCGGATTCGATAGTGATATGGTGGGAAGTTTGGGACTTGCGCCGATTGCTATTCGATTTCTCAATCAAGTTTAGCATACGGATTCTCAAATGATCCAAGCCTAAGAGAAGATCAATGTAGAAAGGGACCTAGAATGGACATTTTCAGTGATCCTCATAGGAAAACCAGCTTACTTGAAACTAGATATTCATATGGTCATTTACTTAAACCTTTAAGTTCCTTAGAGAGTTCCATGATGGCTGAACTATATATGCAACATGTTGAGATGGAAGAGTACGTATGTACTTCTCTTCCATCGCCACCATCTGTTATATCGAGACCACTGATCGTAACCGATGGAAGCCAGTTAATCAGCAGAGCAATGGCGGTTCTTCGAGTGGATCGAATGGAACTATGGATAGTAAGATGCATAATCAAGCCACTTCGGAAAAGAGTGGATATGTACGGGATCCCTCCGTTACCAAAATCAAGTTCGTTGGATCCCCCCAAGAAGTTGAAATTTAAGAGAGGAACTGGTGCAGTGGAGAACAAAGTGTTCCTTGCAAAATGGATAACGAAAAGCAGATGCATTCACACAGGGTACTACTTTACATTTCGCTCATTTCCTTTAATATGCAGTTCCATGTAACTCGGAATCCGGATTCAGCTTTGGATTGGTATGTGTTTGACATGTTGCATTCTATTTTTTCTGTGTGAGCTTAAGCTTGATGCAAAATAACATGATTTGGCGTTGAGTTCAGTTTATTTGTTTATTGTTCTCAAATTCTGCATATAAGTATGTCTCCGCTTCTCTTCATTGCACCCGGAGCAATATATTCACTTGTTATATTTGATGTATTTGTCTTAATACATTATTCATTATGCAAACCAGGTCCGGACGATGGAGTAGTTCTCTTATGTCTCGGGATTTCTATTGGTATAATGTCTTCTTACATCATAAACCAAAAGGGAAGTTTCGAAATTGAGAGGGTTATTAAAGCATACTGAGAATGTAGTTCAAGATCTTCGAGATGAGCTTGAGATGAAAAATTCAATGACAGTTCATGAGATAGCTAATGAGAAGAATGAATCACAGGCGACGTATGACAATTCGATTCATGACAGGGTTGAACAGAATTTGGATAATTTGAAACGATGTTATGGTAGAGAATCTTATTATGATAGGGTAGAGGGAAGTTTGGAGTCAATGAGTCGAATTGAAGCCGAGCTTGAAGCTGAACTCGAGAGGATGGGTCTAAACATGAATGTATCTAACCTGGAGAAAAGAGTGTCTGATCTTGTCGAGGTAATGTATTGTTTGATGACCCGTTGCTTCATTTCCATATTTCTGACGAATTCCTTGTACTTTATTGCCGGTCGATATCAGCATCATGGTTGCTTTATTTTTTAAAAATGGATGTGTTGTTTATAGAGTGTTTCAAACCATTTATAGGCGTTGCGTGTTGTTAGGTATGGCTCATAAATATACCAGTAAAGAGGACAGGAGATGGAGCGGAGTGAGCGAAGCGAACATCAACTGTCCTTACAAAGAAAGTCTCGTTGTGGGGTTACGAATTATGTGGGTTGGGGGTGTGGGGGCGCAGCCCCCGCGGTACGGTACAGGGTTGATTTTGTAATTATGTACCAGGGTTTTCTATTATAAATAGAGATGTAACCTAGACCTAAAATATCATTGAATAAAAACTTCTAGCACCGCCTAGGCACCGAGGACGTAAGCACATTGCCGAACCTCGTAAAATTCTCGTGTTCTTTCGTTTTCTTTACCCGTTTTCGTCAACAATTGGTATCAGATGTCAGGAGCAAAATTCGAAGTCGCGAAATTCGATGGTCAGGGTAACTTCGATTATGGCAACGAGGTGAAGGATCTATTGGCGCAGCAAGGGATCTTGAAGGCTTTGCGACCTACAAAGCCGCGTCGATGGATGAGGAAGATTGGGAAGAATTGCAGCAGCGAGCGGCGGAACCATACGATTATGCTTGCGGACGAGGTCATGTATCACGTCATGCATCTATCGTCTCCAGACGAAATTTGGAGGAAGTTGGAAAGTCAGTTTTATGTCCAAATCCTTAACGACAAACTGTATCTGAAGCAGCGGCTGTATGGGCTGAAGATGCAGGACGATCACGATTTGGCGCAACACGTGAATGTCTTCAATCAAATCGTTTCTGATCTGGCTCGGCTTGATGTGAAAATTGAGGATGAAGACAGAGCGATGATTCTGTTGTGTTCGTTGCCTTCCTCTTACGAACACATGGTGACTACTCTTACATATGGGAAAGAGACTATCAACGTTGAGGAGATTACTGCAGCCTTGTTGGCTCACAACCAGCGGAAGCAGAATGCAGGGGAAAGCTCTCAAGCCGATAGCTTATATGTCAAGGGTAATCGAGATCGGGACGGAAGCCAGAGAAGGCAGGGTCCGGGAAGCGGAATTCCAGATCCAAATCCAGGGATAAGAAGACGATTCACTGTTACAAGTGCAAGGAGGCGAGACATATGAAGCGAGACTGTCCGAAGTTGAAAAAGCAGACCGATGACAAGCGTGATGGCTCATCCAAGTCTGAACGTGGTCGAGGATGATACTTCTGATTGCAGTGAGGGTGATATGCTTTCTATTTCAACGACACAATTGACGGATGCTTGGATTCTTGATTCTGGATGTTCTTATCACATCACGCCAAATAGGGAATGGTTTTCGACATACAGGCCGGTTAATTCTGGTTCGGTTTATTTGGGTGATGATCGATGTTGCAATATTGTTGGTATTGGTGATGTCAGAATTAAGATGCACGATGGCTCCGTTCGGACGTTGAGTGGTGTTCGACATATCCCAGACTTGAAGAAGAATTTGATTTCCTTGGGCACTTTGCACAAGAATGGTTTTATCCCTAAGGCTGACGAGGATAGGGAAACCATTCGGATTGTTAAAGGAGCATTGACTGTGATGAAAGGCAAGATGACTGCAGGGAATATCTACAGATTGTTAGGGAGTACCGTTGCAGGTGGAGTTCACTCTGTTGGTCCTGTGATGATACGACAAAATTGTGGCATATGCGCCTTGCTCATCTTAGTGAACGTGGTATGACAGAATTACACAAGAGAAACTTGTTGCATGGTGTCAAAAGCTGTAAGCTCGACTTTTGCAAGTATTGTGTTCTTGGTAAACAGACTAAAGTCCGTTTCAAGACTGCGAAGCACACAACTCAAGGGATTCTTGATTATGTGCATTCTGATGTATGGGGCCTTCCACGACATCGTCTTTGGGTGGATCTAGGTACTATGTTACTTTTATTGATGATTTTTCACGGAAAGTTTGGGTGTATTTTTGAAACAGAAATCTGAAGTTTTTGAGAAGTTCAAGCTGTGGAAAGCTGAGGTAGAAAACCAAACAGGACGAAAAATCAAGTGTTTGCGGTCTGATAATGGTACGGAGTACACAGATTCACATTCCTACAATTCTGTAAGGAGCATGGGATTCAGAGGCATTTTACAGTGCGCAAGACACCACAACAGAATGGTGTTGCGGAACGAATGAACAGGTCGTTGAATGAAAGAGCCAGATGTTTGCGGTTGAATGCGGGGCTTCCCAAACACTTCTGGGCTGAGGCTGTTAACATGGCGTGTTACCTTATCAACAGATCGCCAAGGGCATCGCTGGCTGGGAAAGTTGCAGAAGAGGTATGGACTGGTCATGATGTTAGTTTTGATAACTTACGGATTTTTGGTTGTCCTGCTTATGTGCATGTACCTGCTGATGAGAGATCCAAACTTGATGCAAAATCGAATGAGTGCATTTTTCTGGGTTACAAGAAAGGTGTCAAAGGATTCAAGTTCTGGGATCCAGTTGCGAAGAAAGTTGTGATTAGTAGAGATGTCGTTTTTGATGAACAATCCATGTTGCAGCAGAAGCAAGACACGACAGTGGTGGATTTCGAGCAGTTTCCAGTTGAGAAACCAGAAACTTCTCAACCGACTTCTGGTGGTTCCACTACGGATGATTTGCAGGATTATAGTCTCGCCAGAGACAGGTGAGACGGACGAATATAAAGCCTCCGAACAGATTGGGTTTTGAAGACTTGGCATCTTTTGCACTTATTATTAGCAGTGATGATCCGGTTACTTTTCATGATGCCGTTACTAGTCAGGAAAACGACAAGTGGATGGCAGCCATGGTTGAGGAGATGGAGTCTTTGAATCACAATCGCACATGGGAGTTAGTTCCCCTTCCTGAGGGTAAGAAGCCGATTGGTTGCAAATGGGTGTATAAGAAAAAACCAGTAGTAACAGAAAAAGAGGGGGAGAAGTTCAAGGCTCGTTTGGTAGCGAAGGGTTTTTCACAGCAGAAAGGAGTTGATTATGATGAAATCTTTTCTCCTGTGGTCAGGCACACTTCAATCCGAGCAGTACTTGTATTGGTGGCTAGTTGGGATTTGCATTTAGAGCAGATGGATGTTAAAACTGCTTTTTTGCATGGTGATTTAGAGGAGCAGATCTACATGCGCAACCTGAAGGTTTCACTCAACCTGGAAACGAGCATTTAGTTTGCAGATTGAAGAAATCTTTGTACGGGTTGAAACAGTCTCCGAGACAGTGGTATAAACGGTTTGACTCCTATATGATCAAGATTGGCTACAACCGATGTGAGTATGATTGTTGTGTCTATGTTAAGAGCCTTGATGATGGTTCTTTTATTTTTCTATTACTGTATGTTGATGATATGTTGATTGCTGCGAGAACATGGATGATGTTATCGGTTTGAAAACTTTATTGAGTCAGGAATTTGATATGAAAGATTTAGGTGCTGCAAAGAAAATTCTTGGAATGGAAATTTGCAGGGACAGAGACTCAAGGAAACTGCGGCTATCTCACGGGGTTATGTTGAGAAAATGCTAGAAAGGTTTGCGATGAGCAGCGCGAAACCAGTTAGCACTCCATTGGCGAATCACTTTAAGCTCTCATCAGAACAGTGCCCCAAGACAGATAAGGAAGCTGAAGATATGGCAAAGGTTCCGTATTCTAATGTTGTTGGCTGCTTGATGTATGCGATGGTATGTACTCGTCCTGATTTAGCTCATACTGTTAGTCAAGTTTGTAAGTACATGTCTAAACCTGGTAAGCAACATTGGGATGCAGTCAAGTGGATCTTTCGGTACTTAAAGGGTACTGTGGGACATGGAATTGTTTTTGGGAGTCAGCGGGATAATCCTTTGGTTGTAGGATATGTGGATTCAGATTATGCAGGTGACTTGGATAATAGAAGATCTACGACAGGGTATGTGTTTACTCTTGGTGGAGGGCCTATTTGCTGGAAGTCTACTGTTCAATCTGTCGTGGCACTATCTACAACTGAAGCTGAATACATGGCAGCGCTGAAGCTGCAAAAGAAGCTTTATGGCTTACTGGTTTAGTGAAGGAGTTGGGTGTTCAACAAGGTGGAGTTCAGTTGCTTTGTGATAATCAAAGTGCTATTCACTTGGCTAAGAATCAGGTGTATCGTGCTAGAACTAACATATTGATGTAAGGTTCCACAAGATCAGAGAGTTGGTTGCATCTGGAGAGGTTTTGTTTCAGAAGGTACATACTGATGAGAATGCCGCTGATATGTTCACCAAGCCAGTTACGACAGACAAGTTCAAGCATTGCTTGGACTTGTTGAATGTTTCGAGTTGTTAAAGAAGCAAGGTAACCCAACCCACATTGAAGTTTCCAAGGGGCAGGATATTCGCCAAGGTGGAGATTTGTTAGGTATGGCTCATAAATATACCAGTAAAGAGGACAGGAGATGGAGCGGAGTGAGCGAAGCGAACATCAACTGTCCTTACAAAGAAAGTCTCGTTGTGGGGTTACGAATTATGTGGGTTGGGGGTGTGGGGGCGCAGCCCCCGCGGTACGGTACAGGGTTGATTTTGTAATTATGTACCAGGGTTTTCTATTATAAATAGAGATGTAACCTAGACCTAAAATATCATTGAATAAAACTTCTAGCACCGCCTAGGCACCGAGGACGTAAGCACATTGCCGAACCTCGTAAAATTCTCGTGTTCTTTCGTTTTCTTTACCCGTTTTCGTCAACACGTGTAAATAATAATAATCATAACATCAGGGAAAGCTCTTTGGTTTGAATCTTTTTCCATGCCTGCGCACTTGCCTGGATGTCTAACAGTACGGCTAAAAATTTATGCAGCTTGACCTGGATTTTGTAGCGGATTTCACCGACGGTGAATTGAGGTCCGATATGGTCAATGTGCAGGCTCTTGTCGAATCTGTGTCTGACGAAGATAGATGTGGCAGTTCAACTACTCATTCCGGAAATTATGCAGTCTCACCGCGAGAGTTGAGCTTGCGTCTACATGAAGTCATTCAATCGAGGCTTGAAGAACACGTTGAGGAACTTGAGACGGCCCTCCGGAACAGCCAGAGGAAGGTGAAGCTAATGAAATCAGAGAATAAGAATTCATGTAAGGTCTCTAACAGCGAATGGAAATTTAATGAAGAGTTCGATTACCTATCCGATCCTCTAGTTATGAAACTATCAGGGGAAGCTTTAGATGCATACAACGAAGCTTGCCAGGTACTGTCGAAGACGGATGAATCCGAAGAAGAAGATGATGCGGGACTGGACATTTATCAAAGTAACCATCAAGACGAGCTGCCTAAGTATGATGGAAAGAGCACAAACGGTTCCTTCCTGCATCGGTGTCCGAAGAACATAATGGAGGAGGCCATTTATGGTGGGGGAAGAACATCGGAAGATCAAACTTCAAGGGTTCATGGATTGCTTGATGTCGGTGTTAATGAAGATGAATATGGTGACTGTGATGATGAAATGGAAAAGCAACTGATAGAGAAGATTGTGGAGAACAGTAAGAAAGGATCTGATGCACTGCTAAATGCACAGAGGATATTGTTTTCCTCGTATGAAACTTAACTTATGTTACATCCACTCTTTTCCATTTCTCTTAAATATTTTTATAAGATATAATAGAATGTTTAAATATTTATGTATAAGATATAGATTTTTCTTAAAATTCTTTTCTTTTTGTAAAGAGAGACACTTTGTACTATAAAATGCTTACCTTTTGTATATTGCCTTGAGTGCGAGGCTGCCTGTGTTACTATATCGATAAGTGTAACAATCCATATCTCATCAAAAATAAATAAATAAATCACTAATCCATTTCTTTTATTCTTGTTATAAAACTTGTAATTTTATAATATTTATAAATTTTTTAAAAATATTTTTTATATTTATTTTCATTTTTTAAAATACATTTGGTTTATAATAATTTTATTTTTCACAATAAAATTTACATTTCTCTAAATAAATTTTACATCATTATTTCTATCTTATTTTAGCATGCGAATAGTTGTATGAATTGTGAATTGTGAATCGTGCATCGGAACTGAGAGGGGATGTGGAAGTTGTGGGTAGGCATAGAAAATATTAAAAAGCTACACATTTGTTTGATTTCTCATGCATTTCAGCTGTGGAATCAGGAGATGTAAGGGGAACTAATACAAATAAGCCTCATCAAGCAGCCAACGCTAGTGAAAATAAAATATCATCATCTTCGTCACCAGCTTCGGCCGATAAAGATGCAGTCACCCCGTCAGCAACTTCGGGCCGGATACCATCCCAAGCACGGCAAACCGAGCCGAATGGAGTATGACTTCAAACGAATCGTTGTTCAGTATTCACACCAGTTTCAACAGTGAACAAATGAATTGGATGTCTAAATCCCGCGAGTACGGTGACAGCTGCGCCGTTCGAGTCCATTGCTGGATCTCCGGACGACCAGACTGTTCTCCGAGACTGCAAATCGTAATGAGAGCGTCACCTCGGCTGAAGCGATGAAGGATTGTTTGAGGGAGCAAAGAGATGATACCCAGCAAATTCATAGACATTCCATTCCATTTATCAAGTATTTTATTATACGGTAGAAATGGGTAAATTACATTGTTAATCGCTCAAATATCTTCTCTTTTATTTTTTTACTAAAATTTTAAAATCCTTAAGTTAATAATTAAAATGTTTAATTATTCATGTCTTAGTCGATCATTGATGACATGGATTATTTTAATAATATTTTTATTATGATATTGTATATTTTATTAATATTTATGTCAAATGTGTCTTAAAATAAAAAGAATAAAATATTTTCAAACCTTAAATCATACCCCAATAATTCATACCCATTTGAACCCCTACTTCATCCCGATGCTCCAACTGTGGGTGAAAGTGGAGGTTATAACTTGAGTTTAAGCTAGTGCGATTTGGAGTTTATAGATTACAATTTGGAGTCTGGGTGTTGTAATTTTGGGTTTTAGTTTATTTGAAGTTTGAATATTGCAATTTATAGTTTAGGGTTGTAATTTGGGATTTCTAGGTTGTTATGTGAGGTTGGGGTTGCAATTTAAATTTTGTGGATTGTTATTTAGAGTTGAGAGTTTGAGTTTTATGATTTAAAAGTTGTGATTTAGAGTTTGGGGTCGAGGCTAGGATTTTTATTTTTAGACAAAAAAGGTTAATGTTGTCTTTGTAATAGACTCAATTTATCATTTTTACTCATGTCGTATTTTCGTATCAATTTGGCACTCGAAAATGTTTAATTGCATCATCTTATATCCTAACCCTAATTAAAACTCTAAATTATAAACCCTAAACCCTAACTTATAATCCTAAACAATAGTAAATATTTTAAACATTGATGCAATTGAGCAACTTCGATGATTAAATTGAAAATAATAAATTGAGTTTATTACAAAGACAAAAATGACCTTTACTTTATTTTAATACTATGCGGCAAAAATAATAATAAAACATGTCACATCATTAAGAAAATATTAATAAAATAAGTTGGAGTGAGCAAATAGAAGCAATTCGAAAATTTTGTTATAAAATTGAAAAGTTTTAAACTACAATAACCCATATAAGAGAGAGAAAATAATTGAATGATGAATGATATAATTTATCCTGAAAGAAATTGGTTCTTTTTATATATTAAAATCGGCTTTAAGATACAAAATTTCACTCATTTTCAATTTAAAGTCCTTAATTAGTATAAGAAAACATTAACTGATGTGTATCTTTGTTTTTAATGAAGACGGGAAGATGGAGACAAAGGTGGCGGTTCCTTCCAAAAAGGTACGCAGAACAAAAAAAAAAACCTTCCACAAACCTTAAAAGAAAATCCAGATACCCCTAAACCAAAGGCCACCCTGGAGACCCCTAAACCAGATTCCCTTAAATCCAGGTTCTACGAAATGGTTCACTTGCAAATATAGTTTACTGATTCAATATCAATGACCATCTTGCAAATAGATTTTCCCATACAAATCTAAGGTATTCTATTCTAATTAACTTCTTACGAAATTCTTCTCAAGTTGTTGTGGTCTTCACCACCAAAATTTAACAACATGCACACGAAAAATAAGTTCCAACATTGAATTTTATAAAACTCAATAATACACTATTATTCTATTATATTATTTGACGTGAATAAATATAAACAGATAATTCATAAATTATAATTAAATAGTTTGGACATAAATCCAGAAGTAATACTCTAACAAAACATCGTTAAAGAACTATTAAATAAGATGAATGGAAAAGAAACAAAAGACGAAGAAAAAGAGAAGATTGTATGAAGTTTCTATGTGCTTTACATGATTGTAAAGCAAAGCTGTGATACTTATATTGTCAAGCCTTCACCTTCATACTCAGGGTCGTGGCTGAGGGGCGCAAACTGTGTGACCGCACAGGGCCCCCCAAAAAAGCCCCAAAAAAATATATAGTAGCGTTTTACCAATAAACGTCACTATAGATATATTTATTGCGACGTTTTTTTTTAAAAAACGCAACTATTATTGCGGCTTTATTGGTAAAACGCCATTATAGATAGATTTATTGCGGCGTTTGTCAAGAAAACGCCACTATTATTGCCCCGAAATTGAATATATCTAAAAAATAGGGGCTCCTTTATACGAATTTGTACAGGACCCCCGAAAATCCTGCCACGGCCCTGTTCATACTAAGAAAGTTACTCAATGGAGTTCTTGGCCCTGTTCATACTAAGAAAGTTACTCAATGGAGTTCTTAAACAAGGCAAAGTTTATACATCCATGCTAAAAAGCCATCATCAAGAATTAAAATAACGGTCATTGTTTTACAAGTTGAACTCTCTCCGGCTCATCGCATATTGATCTTAATTAGTAAAAGGAGGTTGTGCAGACCTTGATATGCTTTATCGGGTTTTCAACATCCCTACCGCCGGCGTGCTTCACGAATTCTTCCGGTGAAAGGAAGTGCCCGTGGCAAACACACACTATGATCACCTGTTCTTTGGTGTATTTGTAAAGAAACCCTTGTATTTTCCTCCCGTCGAGGCAGGTGGTGGACACAGTAGGCATTGCTTTCATCACTTCCATCCCCTCATCTTGAATCCAACTATTGGAAAGTTTAGCCTTCTTCGTCGTATTCTCCGATTCGGTTTCCTTCAGCTCAAGTTTGACGAAGTTTGCAGCACCGGAGGTGATCCCTAGTTCGGACTTGATTAGGTTAGAAGACGATGCTGCACCTACTCCTGCATTGAATTTTTTTTCAAACACGACATGCATTCGAATATGTGTATCTAGGCTATGATGTTCGGATTTTTCATATTTAATGTCTAAATTATGAGAAAGTAAGTAATTAAAGGCAAGAGTATAAAATATGGATGCTTTAAATATAAGTTATTCAAAATTTTCATTAAATATCTATCTTTAATGTATATCCGACGCATATTCGAATCTCAAATTTGTCTAATGTATATCCGACATACATTTAAATCTCAAATTTATCTGGCGAATGTCGACATATATTCGAATGTCAGATCTACATGACGTACGTCCGACATATATTCGAATCTCATATTTACATGACGTATGTCCGACGTATATTCGAATCTCGGATTTATGTAACGTATGTCCAACGTATATTCGAATCTCGGATTTATGTAATAATATTTCTTATTTTGATGGCATGAATATCTAAGCCTGTCAATGCTGAGTCAAATTAAGTACAAGCTGTAAGAAGCTGGAGTTCAACGTGAAATTTGAAACTACTAGAAGCTGAGCAAAAATCAGACGGCTCAAACTCGTTAAATTCCAAAGAGATTCCATCATGGAAAGGGAAAAAGGAATCATACCTTCAGAGTTTCCGAAGCCTTTCTTTGTCGTATCAATGGCTCTATTAAACGCAGGGTTTTTAGCAGCAGCCCAAGCAGGAACTCCAGCAGGAAAACATGGCGCCGCCGTGGCCGCCGTTAAGAACCTTTCTTTATCAGTCCCTTTCATGGCATTCCTATGCTTCTCCTCGGCTCGTTTCTTCGCCTCAGCTCGCTTCATCAACCTTAACTCCTTAACACTCACCACCCTTCTACTCCTCTCCACTTGTACAGGCAACGAACAAGACCTCGGCATCGGAAGATAACTCTTCGGCGTCGTGTCTCCCGCCTGGTCGATGAAATTCCTCTTAACCACTTCTCCAGCTATGGAAGATGATCTGGTTAACGGGTTTTGTTTGGTGTACCCAGTACCGTAAATCCCACCCAGAGATAGCCTGAGATTAAGGTTAGCTTCAGGAAAGGAATCTTGGGTCTGTTTTGAAACACGTTTTTCGAATGAAAATCCGGGAAAAAATTGAATCGGTTGTTGTTCAACCTTGTCGTCGATCACTTTAGCTTCCGCCATTAAAGAAGGTCAAAGAACTTCCCTCTTCCTGTTGAAAGAAACCACAGATTCAGAAACAAATCAATAGAAAGAACCAAACACATCAACAGTAAAAAGACTGATAAGATTTAAGAAGAATGAAGAAACAGCAACAACACATGATCATAAAAACGAACTGAAATTACAATGAAGAGAAGAAGAAAAAAAGTGACAAAACCCAGAAAATATAATCAGGTAAAAGCTTACACGATCGATGAAAACACAGAAACTGAAACTGTAGGGGGAGAGAGTTGATTGTTTTGTGTTAAAAAGACCTCTCATAGAAAGATACCCAGATTGGAAACAATTTTGATGAGATATTATAGATGACACAGCACAGATGAGAATGAACCACACGTGGTAATCAGTGGGGAGGAAGAACATGGAGGTGGGAAAAGATGGAAACATACGGTTACTGTTGTGGCATTGTTGCAACTCGCTCGCTCACTCATAACACAAACTCATTCGAGTACGAATTTTACCGCAAAAACATTATGTTTCGACTTTCCATTGTTTATCATACATACCCAGCTCGGATCTTGATTTCTATTCTATTCATAAAAATATCTTATTTTTATGTTTAATTTTAATAAATTATTTTTATTCATTCAACAATTAGGAAAATATACAAAATTTTTAAATTTATATATTAATTATTAATATATTAAAATGTATAGAAAACATAAATATTTTAAGTCAATACTCTGATACGTTACTAACCCAACAATAAAACCTTGGCCGCGAAAGACTTGGCAAGTTGTGTTTTGTATTTTTCTCTTTTGTTGTATAAATATAAATTAGAAGTATTTTATATTAAATACATGTTTATAAATATTTATTTAATAAATGATTATAGATTAAATTTTTATTAGTTTTGTGTTTAATCTTTGAATTTATTTATTAGTATTAAACGTGTGTTTGAAGTTTGAACACAACTGTGAAATTGAATAAAACTACAATTATTATTCTTGTAATTACAATAACATGTTTCATTGACATAGTATAAATAATCTTGCAAAATATAATTACAAATTATATAAATTTAAATTTCAAAATGATACTAATTATTAATTTGAATTGTATAATTACTTGCAAAATTATATTAATTCTCACAAGTCTCTAACAATCGAAGAGTGTAATTAGAAACATTCAATTATATACTATTCAACATACCTACAAATTATGATTATTATTTAAACAAGTAATTATTATATAATCATATCAATTACACTTAAATTTAATTATATGATATTCTTAAAATATATAAAAAAATACTACTCCATAAAGAAACTATAAAAGCTTGAGAAGATATTTGCATAAAAAGAAGTTTGAAAAGATAATCATATCATTATTCATTGTTATTTAGTGAAGTGGATTTTCTATTTCCTTTAACTGAATTAAAATATGATTAATATGTAATATTAACAGTTAATAAAGATATAATAAACACTTTATAGTCTATTATTTCTTAATATAAATATGCGTACTCATAATTGTTTAGTAAGTTATAAGATTTACATTTATGAATTTTATTATTTATTTAGCATTATAAATGGCAAAACTCACGAGATATTGATGTGAAAAAAAATAATTCACGTGATAATGTCCAATAAATAATTGTTCAAATGGTGTGAATTATACAGTGCATGGATTGGTCGCCATGCAAGCCAAACGAGATCATAGGTCGCCATACACTCGGTGCGACCTTGTAGGTCGCCATGCAAGCGGCTCGAACTCCTCCGTGATTCTGTTGAAATCACGACAAAGGTGGCTCTGCCTCCCTCACCCCTGTCTCCCTCATGCATGCAACAATGAAATCACGACAAAAGTGTTCTATACGAGCTGTGGCGAGAGGATGAAGCTTTGCTACGTGCTGTGGTGAGAGGATGAAGCTTTGCATGCGCCATGCATGTCGGAAGAGGTCGCCATGCACGTCGGAAGAGGTCGCCTGCATGCAATGGGGAGCATGCGAGCATGCAGCGGGGAGCAAGGCCAAGGACAAGGTCGCCCAACGTGCATGGCAACCTACCATGTCGCCTGGCGTGCATGGCGACCTACAAGGTCGCCCGGAGGGCATGGCGACCTATGCTGGGAAGCTGCCACGCCGTAGGTCGCCCGGAAGGCATGACGACCTACGACCAACACTGTGCAATTCCCCCTATTTGAGCAATTAATCTTAGGAGTACATTATAGCGTTAAATAAAAAATTCGAGAACATTATCTTGAAAGTTTTGCCCATTATAAATAGTAAAAATTTCAAAAGAATTTCAACCAATAAAATAACATAATCTCTTCAATAATCAATCATGTTAAAAGTGGGCCCATAATTAGTTCTAGATAGATCCATTTTGGAAATGGGATAAAAATATAATGTGGAAATACAAAAAGTAAACAATAAATTTTGATATTAATATTTATATTATATATTAATCACTACAGCAAAACTGTACATTTGCGGTGTTTTTTTTTACCTATAGCGGCGTTTTTAAACGCTACAAAAAACACCTGCGGCGCTATAACAAACGCCGCAAAAAGCGCCGCTGAAAATAGCGTCGCTAAAGTTCACGGCGTTTGGTAACAAAAAACGCCGTAATAGGTGTTGATATTTAGCGGCGTTTTTCCAACAAACGCCGCAATAGGTGTTGAGATTTAGCGGAGTTTTTCCCACAAACGCCGCAATAGGTGTTGAGATTTAGCAGCGTTTTTCCCACAAACACCGCAATATGTCTTGAGATTTAGCGGCGTTTTTCCCACAAACACCGCAAAAGATCTGGTATATAGCGGCGTTTTTTAGAACAAACGCCGCAAAAGGTCATATCTATAGCGACGTTTTAAGATACAAACGCCGCTAATTACCTCTCTATAGCTAAAAGAAATTGATTTTGCAAATTAAAACTAATTTGTCAAATGTTGTTTTCTACTCTTTTATTACCCAAATTTAACCTGTAGCATTTTCCAATAAACTTGACATCCATAACAACAAACTTAAAGAAACATCCTTTTCGGAGCTAGAGAATATAAAGGTAAGTAATTTATTAAAGAAAGCAATTTATCATCATTCATCATACATGATATCTTTAAAGAATATTAAGTTCAAAGCTAACAAACTAATGGCATTAATTTTTAAAAAAATCAAGGCATTAGTCCAGTTGATGTGAAAGGGTCAAGAAAATACCCAAAACATTTACAACATAAACTTTTTCCACCAAAAGCACTTTCATGTCTTTTGCAAACCGAGAAATCTGATTCAAAATGTTGTGTATGCTTACTGACCTGTCAAAGAAAAGAGGAACAATCAGGTTAATGAATGAATGAATACTGTACGAGTCTATCGCGACGTTTGTACAAAAACGCTACTAAAGTATAAGCCTATAGCGGCGTTTGTATAAAAACGCTACTACTGTACGAGTCTATCGTGACGTTTGTACAAAAACGCTACTAAAGTACAAGCCTATAGCAGCGTTTGTATAAAAACGCCACTAAAGTACAAGTCTATTGCGGCATTTTTATAAAAACGCCACTAAAGTACGAGTTTATAGCGGCGTTTGTATAAAAACACCGCTAAAGTACTACTCTATCGTGGCGTTTTTTATAAAAAGGCCACTAAAGTACGAGTCTATAGCGGCGTTTGTATAAAAACGTCACTAAAGTACTACTCTGTCGTGGCGTTTTGTATAAAAGCGCCGCTAAAGTTACCATTTGTGGCGTTTGAAATGTAAACGCCGTTGTATGTTTAAAGTTAGTGGCGTTTAATCTTAAAACGCCGCTAAAAACGCCGCTGTAGAACAATTTTGCTGTAGTGAATCCATACCATATTATAAAACTTAACCCCTTGGTTTAAGATTCTTGGAAAGAAAATTTGAAATCATATCGTAATTTACTTTTAAATATATATATATATCACTAATTTTGAATTAGATTTACAATTATAATTGTAAATTAAACACATGATTAGGACGATTTCCTATAATTATTGATACAAAAACTAGTAACTTAAGGTCGCATAAGGATCATATAAGGAATGATTAAAATATTACCAAGAAAACTCGAACGAAGATTGATACAAATAAATCTGATCGTTTAGGCAAACGAACCAAAAAAGAGGATCAAGCTATTAAAAGACCACCGAAAAATCGTAAATCAATCTCGAGCGAAGTGAAAAGTTATTCACGAACGTATAATAGATATCCAAATCTAATTTAAAGTCAAAAGTAGGGAAAATCAATAATATAACAGATAAGTGTCATTTTCATCAATCATTACGATGTCAAATCAATCCTTATAAAAAATAAATGAAATCAACGACCAAACAATCGAAAAACATACCAAAAGACATAAAAAAACGTGTTATAAAGACATATAAAAACGTGTTATACAGACAGACTTATTGAAAAGAAAATAAAGATACAATATAAAAAATAAAATGACAATAATAAATACTTACAGTCGACAACTAATATTAAAATTATTACCGCGTCGATCAACAAAGATAAAAGAAAAAAATAAAAACAATACTTTCTTAGATTAAAATTTTTAAATTAAAAAGATTCATTTTTAAAGAGCACACGTGTAATGAAAATATGTGTACGCGTGGCGGAGGACAAGGTGTGACAACAAGCGAGGCAAGTTTGCATGCAAAGGAGAAGGTCTCGCACTGATGCTATCCAGTTTTGTTATGCCCACGCGCCGATTATGTAATCTCACCTACTCTCCTTTCTTTATTTTAAAAGACTTTACAATTTTAGATTCCTTCTTGTAAATATTTAAATTATTTACAATTTATTTAGTCATATTTTCTTTATTCTGAAAATGGAATTACCGCATTAGGTAATAAAACACAACCATTTATTTTATAATTCGTCACTAAAAAAATGTCTTTTCTTTGTTGGAATAAAAAAAATACTTTTTGATTTTTTTGCCTTAAAAAACGACACACAATTAAATGAAAACATGATAGGATAAATACCATGGTTATTAAAATCGGACGGGACCGGCCGGTTTAACCGATTGAGTAACCCCCCAGACTGATGCGGGTAACCCGATCAGATCTGGGTTGTCACATTAGGGCCACCAGAGCAACCCACTGTAAAAATAGCGAAAAATTTAAAACTTTTTATCAGAACATGTAAACTTATAAAATCATTTGTCCATATTTAAAAATAAAACATATTTTCAGACTTATATATAAAACAAAATACAATTACATGCCCCCTAATCACATGTACCATAATCTGCAACAACACCGGAAGAACTCCCTTACTGAAGTCGATAGATGCACTTGTACAATTCTTTTAACCTGAAAAGATGAGTAATAGAGTGAGCTTTGGAAAGCTCAGTAATACAGAACTACTAAATGATGCTGAAGAACATGCAGATACAAATAAACATATATTTCCTTTTCGGTTCAGACATCTACAGATCTTTATACTGAGCGAAGATCCTACAGATATTTCGGGGTAACGAACAATGAGCTTTCAGTTCAGATAAATATTTCGAATTACTGAGTTCAGGAGATCATAATAGGTTATATAGTGTGTTCCCAAAAATCATGTAACTTTTCAGATCTTTTTAAAACATATATATATATATATATATATATATATATATATATATATATATATATATATATATATACCCCCATCCGTCAAGTCCAAAATGTGTAGGTTCCCCAGAACCATACACCCACCGTCAAGTCCAGTAAGCCCTGAGCACACAGCCGAGGAGCCGGTAAGTAAGGCCCTGAGCACACAGCCGAGGAGCCGGTACGTAAGGCCCTGAGCACACAGCTGATGAGCCTTCATGTATACTTCCTCCAACATTACCCCCAAGTAAAATATGTTCGTCCGTAAACGGATATATCAAAAATCAAAACATAAATCAGGTCAAGTATCATATCAAAATCCAGGTCAAGTATCATATCAGAATCCAAGTCAAGTATCAGATCAGAATCCATGTCAGATATCAGATCAGAATCCATGTCAAGTATCATATCAGAATCCATGTCAAGTATCATATCAGAATTCAAATCGAAAATCAGATAAAATATTCATGTGAGTAGGGAACACACCAGAGTTTATGGATATTATTTAGAGGGACTGGATAATCTTATAAGGCAGAGAAACATAGATCTTCAGTATGCCGATAGAACGTTGGAATTTCGAATCACCATGGGAAGAGTTCATTAACTGACGAAATCATCAGTTATTCAAAATGTGATTCATCAGGATCATATCTTATTCAGACATTTTTCAGAAGCTTAACGAATCATAAGGGTATTTCAAATCCTTTACAATCTTTGTCGATTGATTAGATTATCGAACAACTCCAGATGAATAACTCCCAGAACTAATGCTTATCGACTGGTCAATTCATTGTCCTCACAGGGTAGTTACACTTTAATACCACAAATTCTAATCCATATATAATCTTCGGAATCATCGCTGAATAAATCTTTCAATGTCTTTATTCCATGTTCACGCTTCCACTGTATCATGAAATACTGACGTGCTTGATTTGTAGTTCATCTTTCATAAGGACAGTACATCTTATAAACTCATCAGAATTTTCAGACTTATTCAATTCACTTACTTAATCCTCAGTCATTGAGGTTACTTAGCTTATTTAGCAATCAAGTCCATTCCAGTTACTTTGGGGTTTTCCAAAGTAATTCAGACGTTTCTGAATTTCGAATACATATTGTACTTCCGTTTAGTTCAATTCGGTCTTTGTGGTTGATTTGTCAAACAAATATCCAATTCTTAGATCTGAATGCGATCTAGAGTTGAGCTGGGCTGAATACTTCCAAAATTATCATCGAGTCAAACTTGAGTAGACAAACACGCATTCAAGTAATATTTAAGCCGTTCAGGTACTGACATATCATTAAGGTTGATCGGCTCACTTAAGCTGTGTTCCATAACTTTTAAAGGTAGTTCAACACCTATGCTTATTTGTATTCCTTAATTAATCCAAGACATTTACTTAATATAGGCCATAAGGGTATTTTGGTAATTTTGGTGTTCAGTTTTATTCCATTCATTTCAGAGCTCGAGGATATCCAATCATTCCTGAGCTTGGTGGTATTCTTGGGTCATTTCTATTACATGGGTATTTTGGTCATTTTACAGATTCAGTGTATTTTAATCTTTTTCTTCCGTCTGATCTTATTATTAAATTCAATCTTATTATTTATTTCAGTCATTTCGAACAATTCTGACAGCAGAATACCCCGACAAATTATTCTTCAAGTATTTACTCATTACTCGGATATTTTCGGGTCAAGTGCATTCTCAGACTTTACAAACGAAATATCATGAATTTTTCTTTACAAAGACATGATCTTAATAATTAAATTCGTACTTAATCGAGTTAAGTATAAATCCTCAAAGTATTTTCTCATTCAGAGTCAACTCAGACTATTTTACCTCTCAAGGGCATTTTCGTAATTTCTTAACTAGATAATTTCGATATTAACTTTTAACGAAAATAATATAATATAGAGATCCTATGATTAATTGCTTCCTCAAACATTCTTTGATCTTGAAATGATTCCTTAAAAGACTTCTAGTATCTAGCATAAACCCTATTGGGGTTAAAAACCGGTTATCCATAATTTCCAAGTAAAACTTACATTTCTTATGCACATCAATAGTTTTATCAGATCAATAATTCTTTTTAGATTATTAATCCACTTCCAGGGACAATACTTGTCATTTTCCAACATAAAGGTAATTTCGTAATTTTACCTAATCGAAATATTCTCATAATTTATCATCTAAGTACCTTTAATGAGATAAATTATAATCTACATATCCATGGCTGATTCTTTTATCACTTAAATCTATATATCCATGGCTGATTCTTTTATCACTTAATTCCAGAACTTGTAATTTAATTTCAATTGTCCTCCAATTTCTTATAATAGTCATTTGAGCCATATTCAGTTACCTACTTGCTATCGTATTCGTATCAAGTGTAGATCTTTATTAATTACACATATGAGACCAAACATTTCCATTCATGCATTTACCAATACCAACACGTTCTATAAAGCATAAAGAGGTAGTAAAGTATTACCTCGATTACTGAGCTACATTAATCACCCTTCGAACTTCTTCCTTTCGCCGTCGAACAAATTTTGAATTTGAATCCAAATAAATTTCCCTCACTATAAAATTAACTTATTAGAATTCCTTTTCATAAAAGAGGGACCTAATTGACAAAATTAATACTTTAGGGGGTCAATTTAATAATTAGCCACCAAGGGTAGTGGCCAAAATAATTCTATTAAAACCATTAAGCAATATTCATAACTATATGAAAACTATATGACAAGGTTGATTCTCACCACACATAGAGGACTCACGTTGCGATTTACTCTTTAACCTTTATCATACTCCCAAAAACACGTGAAATCTTCAATTGTTTCATTTCATTTTCATTCCCTTAATATTCAAAGCTTCAAGCCGTATTCTGGAGATGAACAAGGGAGCCTCGTCGATAGGTAGTTGAATGCCGACGATCACCGCATCAACCTTCGTCACTGGTCGTTGTCCGAGAACCAACATACTTGGTTTGAATCGCCTCAAACTCCTTATCACTTGTAGTATTCCGCTGTTCATCTCCATCACCGCTTACTTTCACCATATCCCGCTTCTTCATCTCGACAAGTTGCCTATACACCACATGGTCGAGCTTAACAGAGCTACAAGAATTCTCTTCCATCTTCACATCTGATTCTTTTGGCTCTATTTTTGAATCCTCGATAACATCCCCCATTGAAACAACACTAAGTACTCAAAACAGAAGCAGTATTTCACAACACAACTGGGTTTTAACAATTTCTCAGTTTGAACTCGTCGTTGCCTCTCTTTGAAGAATCAAACATCATTTCTGATCGTTTGATGTTGTTGATGTATTGATTTGAAAAACTCTGGGACACCGTCTCATTGCTGGTGTTTACGCCATTGTCTGTCGATTCTCCCGATGAAACTGCAATATTAGTAGTAGAAATACTAGTAGCAACAAAATTCCATAAGCTGTTACAACAAGAGAATATCATTGAAATCCCATCATCTTTAACTTGTTGTGGAAGACGGGTATCGGATAGAGCAAAATCGCAACTGATAATTTGAGAAAATAAAAATGAAGATAAAAGAGACACAAAATTTACGTGGAAAACCCCTGAATAATATAGGGTAAAAACCACGGGCAACGATAGAAGAATTTCACTATGAGAAAATAGGAATTACAACTTCTCTCAATAGACCAAGGAGAAAACAATGATAATTCTCTCTTGATAAAAAGGAGAAAATAACTCTCAAGAAACTCTCTAAATTCTCTCTAGTATTGAAAGAAAGCTAGAATGCTTTGGGATGGTTTTGAAGCCAAATGGGATAGGGTATTTATAACTAAATCTTAAGGACTTAATCTTGTAAATACACTAAAGTTTAATGACTAAAGTTTTTAACTTGACCATATAAAAAATCAACAAAATTGGCTTTTAATATTTTTTTTTCAAAGCCACCGGTTGCTTAGCAGCCTATGTGGTTTGATTTTTCAACAATCTCCCACTTGAAGATTTGATTGGAACAATCATATCTTCACACCATTCTTTCTACCTTGTACCATCATGTTGCTTACGTCTCTGACAGCCCACAAGACGATCGACACCAGGTAAATTTATCAGCGTTGATTACCTTTGTCATGAAATCTGTTATGTTGTCTTTGGTATGGATTTTCTGCATATCTACTGTCCCTTCTTCCACCTTTTCACGAATGAAAGGGTACTGAACTCGTATGTGCTTTGTCCTTGAATGAAATGTTGGATTCCTTGCTAGATGCAAGGCGTTTTGACTGTCACAAAACAGAGAGACATACTCTTGACTGTGCCCAAGCTCCTCCAATAACATCTTCAACCAAATTGCCTCTTTACTGGCTTGTGTAGCTGCTACATATTCTGCCTCTGTTGTGGATGTAGCCATAACTGACTGCAATTTTGAAACCCAGCTTACAGCTCCACCAACAACTTTGAACACATATCCTATAGTAGATCTTCTTTTATCCAAATCCCCTACATAGTCAGAATCTACATACCCATTGATTAGTAAGTTTGATCCTCTGTAACATAATACAGCATTTGAGGTCCCTTTGATGTATCTCAGGATCCTCTTTGCTGTATTCCAATGCTCTTTGCCTGGATTTGCCATGTACTGACTAACCACTCCCACTGCTTGTGCAATGTCTGGTCTTGTGCATATCATAGGGAACATTAAACTTCCCACTGCTGATGCATATGGTACTCGAAACATCATCATCCTCTCTTTTTCACTGCTAGGACTCATACAAGAGGATAATTTGAAGTTAATAGGAAGAGGGGTAGAAATTGGCTTACAATCTTGCATGTTGAATCGTGACAAGATCTTCTTCAAGTAATTCTTTTGTGAAAGCCAAATCTTCCTATTACTTCTGTCTCGGTGAATTTGCATCCCTAGAATCTTGTTTGCTGATCCCAAGTCCTTCATTTCAAATTCCTTAGCTAGTTGTGCCTTCAATTCTTCAATATGATCTTTGTTGGGTCCTGCAACCAACATATCATCCACATACAACAACAATATAACAAAATCGTTATCACCAGACCTCTTGAAATAAGCACAAGGGTTTGCATTAAGTCTGTTATATCCAAGGCACATAATGAAGGAATCAAATCTCTTATACCAATACCTCGGCACCTGCTTTAGACCGTACAGAGATTTGTTCAACTTGAAAACCAAGTTCTTCTTTTCTTTTTCTTCAAAACCTTCAGGCTGGAGCATGTAAATCTCTTCTTCAAGATTTCCATGAAGAAAATATGTTTTAACACCTAGCTGCTCTAGATGTAAGTTCAATGTAGCACACATTGCCAAAACTACTCGAACTGTTGTAAGTCGAACCACAGGAGAAAGTATTTCATTGAAATCAATACCTTCTTTTTGAGCATATCCTTTGACCACCAGTCTTGTACGATACCTCTCAACTTGATCGTCACCATTTTGCTTGATTTTGAAGACCCATTTGTTACCAATTGGCTTCCTTCCTTGTGGTAATGGCACAAGGTCCCATGTATTATTTTTATGAAGGGCTTCAATTTCTTCTTGCATCGCCATCATCCACAGTGAAGCATCTGAGTTCTTTATTGCCTCCTGGTATGTTGATGGCTCACCGTCCTCTATTAAAAGACAGTATGCAATATTACCTTCTATAACATAATCTGAGTGCCAATTGGGACGTCTTCTCACACGATCTGATTGACGAGTTGTTGGTGCTTCAGAACTCTCAAGTTCTTGTTCATCATGTGCTGGTTCTGCTTCAGAAGAATATCCTTGTTCAAACTCATTTTCCACATTTATCTGTGTAGTCTCTGACTTTTCAGTGTTATCGTCGTCTTCTTTTCTTTGTAGTTTATCCTCTACAAAGATAACATCCCTGCTGATGATCACTTTGCGGGCAGTGGGATCCAATAAGAGATACCCCTTGACTCCATCAGCATACCCCAAGAATTTACATTTCTTGGATTTTGGATCCAGCTTTGAGATTTCTTGGGAGTTGTACATCACGTACACAATACTTCCAAATATATGGAGGTTTGAATAATCAGCTGGTTTACCAGTCCACATCTCCATTGGTGTCTTCAGCTCTATTGCAGTTGATGGAGCTCAATTCACCAAATAACATGCGGTATTGACTGCTTCTGCCCAGAATGATTTTTCTAGGCATGCATCCCTCAACATTGCTCTTGTTCTTTCTAACAAGGTTCTGTTCATCCGCTCTGCCACTCCATTTTATTGAGGAGTGTTTGCCACTGTGAACTGTCTTTTGATGCCTTCTTTTCTGCAAAAGTCATCAAATTATTCGCTTGTGTATTCTCCTCCATTATCTGTTCTGAAACACTTGATCTTATTTCCAGAATCAAGTTCCACCCACGCTTTGAAGATTTTGAAAGTTGAAAACACATCTGACTTCTTCTTAATAGGATACACCCAACATCTCCTAGAGTAGTCATCAATAAATGAGACAAAGTATTTTGCTCCACCTAGGGATGTAACTGGTGCTTGCCATACGTTAGAATGAACCAATTCTAGAACATTTTTGCCTTTAGAATTTGACGTGTTGAATTTCAACCGTGCTGCTTACTTGTTATGCAATGCTCACACAAAGTAAGTGATACATTTGTTAAGCCTGGAAGTAACTTTTGCTCCACAAGAACTTTCATTCCTTGTTCTGACATGTGTCCAAGTTTCTGATGCCATAGCATTGTAGAATCTGAACTACATGAGGCAACAGAGGCTTCTGCTTCTAGCAAAGTCTCTCCCTTCAGAATGTACAAGTTTGCTGCTATCTTTTCGTCTTTCAGCACCACAAGCGCTCCACGGAACACCTTCATGATTCCTTTCCGTGTCTCAATCTTGCTTGCATTATTATCCAACAATCCGTAGGATAATAAAATTTTCTTCAGGCCCTTCACATGCTGCACATCTCGAACAACTTTGATTGTTCTATCATACATCTTCAATTTGATGGTTCCCACGCCAACGATCTCTAAGGCATGATCATTGCAACTATACACAGATCCTCCTGAGACAGGTTCATAATGATGGAACCATTATCTTCTTGAGGTCATGTGATATGTTGCTCCCGAATCAATGAGCCATATATCTGTATATATTTTTCTACCTTCCACGGTGGTTGACGCTTCACAACATAGAGCATCTCCATCATCTGAAGTGTTTGCGATATTGCCTTGTGGATTGGAGTTTTTATTTAGACTCCAACAATCCTTCTTCAAATGACCCTTCTTTCCACAGTTGTAATACTTTAAATTCTTCTTGCTCCTCGACTTCGATCTACCATATTTATGACTGCTGCTTTGGCCACGTTCTGTTGATCTTCCTCTCATCGTTGTCATCGTTGTCAATGCTTCTACTTGTTGCAGATTTACTTGTCTGTCTTCCTTGTTCTTGTGCCAATTTTCTTCTTGTAGAACAACAGCTGCAACGTCATCGAAGACTAGACTGGTGACATTACTATTTGTCAAGTTGATGATGAGTTGATCATACGAATCTGGTAGACTTTGAAGTAGAAGTTTAGCACGTTCTTGTTCTCCTATTTTACAACTTAAGGATGTAAGCTGAGAAAATAAAGTGTTCAGTGTATTTAAGTGCTCCGTCACTGAAGTAGATTCTGGCATACGGAGAGTGTACAATTTTCTCTTAAGGAAAATTTTATTGCACAACGATGTGGCCTCGTACAATTTGGTGAGATGATCCCATATCTCTTTAGTTGTCTTCTTTTCCTCGATGCTTGACAATACTTCATCTGCTAATGCTAGATGAAAGTTTGCCATAGCATTCCCGTCCATTTCGATCCATTTGTTGTCATCTGTGAAATCCACTGGCCTTTCACTGATAGCTGCTAGACAACCGTCTTTCCTCAGCATAGTCTTCATCTTCAATTTCCACAATGAGAAATTTCTCCCATTGAATTTTTCAATATTAAATTTCGTTGTCATAGCTTCTTTTACAGATAGCTCCCACTATTTCACTATCGTGAATAGTTCTCTGGAACCTTCAAAGAATGGGTAATAACTTCTTACTTTCTTATGTTGGAGGATCCACCTTTTGGTGGCAACCACAAAGACAATAAGCAGATATTACACACTCTAATCTGGCTCGGATACTAATTGTTGCGGAAGACGGCTATCGGATAGAGCAATATCGCAACTGATAATTTGAGAAAATAAAAATAAAGATAAAAGAGACATAAAGTTTACGTGGAAAACCCCTGAATAATATAGGGTAAAAACCACGGGCAAAGATAGAAGAATTTCACTATGAGAAAATAGGAATTACAACTTCTCTCAATCGACCAAGGAGAAAACAATGATAATTCTCTCTTGATAAAAAGGAGAAAACAACTCTCAAGAAACTCTCTAAATTCTCTCTAGTATTGGAAGAAAGCTAGAATGCTTTGGGATGGTTTTGAAGCCAAATGAGATAGGGTATTTATAGCTAAATCTTAAGGACTTAATCTTGTAAATACACTAAAGTTTAATGACTAAAGTTTGTAATTTGACCATATAAAAAATCAACAAAATTAGCTTTTAATAATTTTTTTTCAAAGCCACTGGCTGCTTAGCAGCCCATGTGGTTTGATTTTTCAACACAACTGATGTATCATTGTTGCTATTAGTAGCTGAGAGCAAGCAATCAAGGGACTCAAGAGAGTTTGTTGTTATTGTTTTTGTAGTACCAGCCATGACTTGCGAGTAAACTGCTATGCCAATAACAAAAATTGAAGCTGATGATCTATGAGAAAAATGAGAAGAGAGATATACTTGTTTTAAACCATCCTTCCATATCAGTATATCAAAGTTTGAGATAACGTTCACTGGATCTGATGCAGCAGGAAATAGTATTTGTTGAACCATTTCAAATACTATATCTGATTCTGGTCTTGTATGGAGTTGTTGAATTGGATTAATGAAGATATCTTCTGGCAGATTCATCTTGTCACCATAAATGGAAGAATTTGAGTTGAAAATTAAGAAATTGTCTTCCACTTCTGAGCTATCCCATCCCAAGCCACCATCCATGGCTGAAACCTTTTCTTTTCAGAAAAGTAGCCAACAAATGAAGAGTATTTTATGCAGTTTTTCTAACAGAGACAAATTTCGATCAAACCCTCTCTAATCAGTTCTTAATCATGAAGAAACACCACTGCTAGCTAGCATCAGTAAATCCAACCACATGCGTCCCATCATCATTACAGCTCAATGAATGGGCTTCCATAACATTTGCTTTGTATATACTATTGCCAGCCTTTCCCTGCATATACGTTTACTATCTATTTTTTTTCAATTATAGAATGCCATTATCCTTATTTTAATCATATTTCACCCTACAATTTGTCCACATTCTACCTAATTCATTATCCTCCATTTGTTTAATAAAATAATGGTCTAATAAAACAATTATTTTCCAACCAACTTTATATCATTTCATATTTCAAACTATAAGAAATCTAACCCCATATTGGGGTGTGACAGATTGAACCGTGAATCGGTGGCCTATCCGGTCCGGTTACCTCACAAAACCGGACTGGTAATGAATCAGCTGAAAATCGGTAAAACCGGGATGAATCGGCTGAAAACTGGCAAAACCGGTTTGAACCGTCGGTTCACTTTTTTTCTTTTTTTTAAAAAATTAAACCAAAATACGTCGTTTGTTCAACGAGCCAAGTCAAATTCGAGTACTGCTGAGCTCGACTCGAACTCGAAAACTTTAAAAGGAAGCTCAACTCGACTAAAAAAACTCACGAGCTAAAAATTATCAAGTTCAACTCAAACTCGAAATATAATATTAAAACTTGAACTCGAAAAGGCTCGAACTCAAAAAAAAATTAGAAGTTCGATTGAAGCCTAAAATTTGAGCTCAATTAAAGCGAAAGAATAGTTCGCTCTGTGCTCACCAAAAAGCTCAATGATTTTGAATGTCAAATTACCTCTATTATTTATAGAAGTAAGTTGGGATGCTCTTCTATGTTTCTTAGCCATGAGGGATTGTTTTTTTTTTAAAAAAAAACAAATCAAATGACATCATTTGTTATGATTTTTTTAAGCTTCAATTTTATTTTTTTGATTATAGTTATATAATTATATTTATTATTTAATATGTTTTACCTTAAATATTATATTGTAGTTGATTTGAATCATTTTGTTTCACTTGATTTTATGATTTTTAATTTATATATATTATGACTTGTGATATTTTTATACCTTTTAATATTTTAAACTTAAAAAAGGTATTACATATATATTAATATTGCTTTGAATATTATGTAAAATAAAAAAAATATTATTTTATATAAAATCCAATTCAACTGCGATTGAATCCGATTGAACCAATGAATCAGTACCTTTACCGGTTCAATGTCCGGTCCGATCTTAAAAACATTTGATAAATACACACATACGACATACCCTCAAGTCTCAAAGTCAAAGCTATCTTGTATGCTACCATTTTCACCACTATCAATTCCTTGTGCGATGTCGTATTGCAATGACTCCCATCGACAAAGATCATATCGGTTTAACCAAAGTACGAAAAACAAAAATCAACGGTGAGTCGAATCTTTCAAATCAGTCAACAACCTGTACTAAAATAAAAGGATTTTACGGTAAAAGTGGCATATGAGGATTATATCAAAAAGTTAGATCAAAGATTCTTCAAGACATTTCTCCAATGTAAAAGTGTTGGGGGGGGGGGGGAAAGTAAAAAAAAGAAGAGTGAACTTTATGGAATCAACAACTTGAATCCTAATGGCCCTCGTTTTCTTTGTTTTATACCCTCAAAAAATAATAATAATCTGCTCAGCTAATTTTGAAGAAATTGAATCATGGTTTCACATCGGCAGCACCTTGACGGCCGCCTATTCCATTCTGATTTACTCGTTGATAGTTATCTCCGTTCCATCCACCCGAACCCTTTGGTCGTCCTGAAAATTCTCCCTGGTTTCTGAATTCGCCCCTGCCATAGCCTCCTCGGCCACTGCCAAAGTTACCCCGCCCCCTGAAATTCTCACTCCGAAACCCAGCTTTACCTGAAGCATACCTTCCTCTTCCAGTCCCGGTACCACTCCCGGTGCTACCAGCTGCAAAAAAAAGTGCAGGTTCTCAAAGTTGTCATCCTAGATGGATATAGAATATCCACGACCACATCATGCAAAATTAAATTGAACGTCTTGCACTATAGCTATGTTTTGAAGATCATGCCTTTTCCTAAACTTGCTTCTATTATTAGATGGACTAAAAGTTTGGTTTGGGCAAATGAAATAATGAAATTTTGATAAATTTCAGGATCAAAATTCTAAATTTTGAATTACCTCGATTATTAGTCCTCTTTTCTTCCACAGCAGCTTGACGGTCCCCGATGGTAATTGGTGAAGCCTGGAATGCAAGAGCACAACAATAAATTCAAAGATACAACCATATGGAAACACAGAAGGGAGGCTGACTGAGAATAACAACGAATTATATAAATACTTCTTAGATTATCGTAAAAAATCAAGGTCCCTCAGTACTATCTAATTATGTTCTGCAACGAAAACACAGTGATGCAGTTGAGAAAGATGCAAAAATAAGGAATGAACGGTAATCTAAAGTCTAAACCTTTGATTTAGGTTAATTCCTTCGAATTGTAGACCCAGAAAGTGCATAAAATGTGAAATTTTTGCAACATCCATAAAACAGTTTAAAAATTAGTAGGTTTAAGCTTTTGGATTTTCCAACATATTCAGCAAGGCTGCAAATTGGTGCAAACTGAAAGTGACTGATATAAGGTTAAAGAAAATAAAAGATCTAAATTACAGAAACCATTACAAGGTCCAGGATTCATTTCTATCATTCTATATACTGTCTAAGTAGCAGAAGAATAAAAAGACACCAGATCAAGGGGATTTATTCTATCAGACCAGCTGATTTAATTATCTTCGCATACAGTAGGGTTTTCTCGAATAAATGTCTACAAAAGTTCAAATCAGATTCATTTCGAGTGGCCAAAATCCCATATTCACATTATCTAACCCATACTGTCATTTAACATTGACCTGGTTTTGGGCTTTATTTCTGGATTTTTATCATTCTGAAATAGTGCTTTGTTTGAGGTCAAGGGTAGGGGTGCTTAATGAGTTGAGCAGCTCAAACTCGACTCGGTCAAAACTTGATAAAACTCAACTCGGGTTGACTCGACTCGAACTCGAGACCTAAACGAGTTGAGTTAAGTTGAGCAAAGTCCAACTTGACTCAATAAGTTCGTGAGTAGCTCGTTAATTTTTTAGTAGTTATCTTAAAAATTATTTCATTCAAAAAAATTACTAATTTACTAATAAATAATAAAAAATGATAAATTGCTAATCTATTAATTATCTAATAAACAACGAAAAACTAAATTATTAATATTTTACTACACTAAAAATCAAACCCTATTTATTATTTTAATATATTTGTAGATTGTTACTTTGGAATTTAGACTTTGAAAATGCATCATACACTCCTTTGATAATTTTTTTTTGTTAAATTTATTAATTTATGTTATATTAAACTCTGTATAGTGTATTAGTAGATTTTACCTATAGTTAAGAAAATAAGGTAAAAATTTCAGTGAGCTTAACGAGCAACGAGCATCAAGCCTAACGAGCAATGAGGCAAACAACGAGCAAACGAGTTGAGTCGAACAACAAAATTTTTTAACGAGCAAGAGTCGAGCACAACCCAACTCGCGATCGACTCGCTCGATAAGCACTCCTAGTCAGGGGAGGGGGCGTTGACATGATTGTAAACATCAAGACAGCTTAACCTCAGGAATAAATTATTTATATTTTCGTTCAACATTAAAGTAGTGGTAATTATTCGGGAGAAACTTAACAGAACTTGTCTGACACATGGTATGCATTTGTTAAAGAGTCTTTATTAACTGTTGTCAGGTAAGTGATTTAATGGAAGAGCAACTTATGTTAGTGATCATACCTCAAGTGCACTCTGCACTGAACTTGCATTCTCGAATTCAACAAAGCCGAATGTGAATCCTTGCTGTAGGAGGAAAGAAATACAAAAAAAAAAGAGTAAGAACCAACACCTTGAACTTGAAATGTCAAATGTCAACTAGGAATGGGAACTGGAGAAGCTCAAATCATTAACTTAGTCAACCTTATTGCTTCTGACTTGGATGCCATTGCGCTTAATGGGCCCAAATTTTTTGAATGCCACCTCAAGTTGTGCAGGTGTTGCAGTGTAAGGCAAGTTCCGTACATATATGGAGTGTCCTTCAGCTTTCGTAAGAACAAAGTAAATGAGATTTATACTTAAAACAAAAAAGAATATGTATCAAGATAAATCAAATAGAAAAATACGTATGACACATAATTGATATCTTTATTCATTGAAAACAATAAAGGTATATATCTAATTTCATTGAAAAAGATAAATGTGTTGCTATTATTATCCAATAGTACATAAATGAAGTTGGCAATTACCTTCCTCATTGTCATTGCTGCTTTCAGGTGCATTATCATTGTTAGGCAATGCTGCCTCGATGGCTGGAGCAGGATTTGCAGAAACAATTGAGTGTGGTTCTTTAGATGCCGCCCTCACATTATTGGTAGGAACATAGACCGAAGTAGATGATGTATGACTTTTCACTACTTTGACCTAATACACATTTCGGTAAATTCAGTAATAAAAATAAAAGGACCATCAAGTCATGACAGAAAAAGAAAAAAACCAATTGACATAAACTCACAATTGAAGCGTATGATTTCTTAGGAGCATCCTCTAAAACTGCAGGAGCTGAATCAACAGCCACAACACTCTCACTATGAGTTGCAATGTTTTGAGGTTCAACAACTTCTTCTTCAACAACTGATCCTTCCTCCTTGTCTGAAGGGTCAAAACCTCATCACCATTATTAATATTTTCATCTTCCAGGCAAGTTAATGGTTCCTCCGCAAGATTGTCATGAGTTGGCTCTGGAAGAAAAGGTAATTCCATAATTTGAGTGTAAAGCAAGTATATAAACATAATTCATAAAGTGAGAGAATCAAGTTAAACCTGGCTCTGGTGCCAAGGCAGGTGTTGAAGCCTGTTCACTGATGCCATTAACTGGAACAGAGTTTTGCAACTCTTTGTCCTCAAAATATCTGAAAACATCATTTAAGACAAAGTAACCTTTGTCTTGTGGAGCTAGAAAGAAGGTTTGTGTGAATTTCCTTCTCACATTGTCCTTTCCGGTTAAGCATCCAGTTACCAGTACAATGACCCCTTTCTCAAAAGAGTCTTGAGCATCTGCAGTTTTAATCTCTGCTGTATAGTCCTCGTAATTCAGCGATAGGACCTTCTCATTGATTGCCTACTCAAAAGCAAATATAAAAGCACTCATCAACCAAAATATGTTTAAGCTATGTTACAAGGGAAAAAATCTATTCAAGTCCAATATATGAGCCTCCACAAACATACACTTCCGAAAATATCCATTAGGACCATTACTACAGTTAAAACTATGGACTTATAGATATATAATGCTTCTCCCAAGGTTTCCCATACTTTTTAAAACTGAATTCATAATAACAATCATTACAAAGTTTCGGTAATTATTCTCAAAGAACTTGTCATTTACAGAAATATGCATGTATTTTGAATTATCGATGACAATATGCTAGTGCCTAGTCCTGTTAGAAGTTATCCCAACTCCCAATGCAGGCTTACCTGCATGGTTGTTACTGTTGTCATGTTGCCATACACATCTGGCCGACTTAAACAACTTGAATCTTGATAAAATCTATGCACAAGATTCGGCGATTGGTGAAGAATATGGTAATACTGCTCAACGAAAGCATTTCCAACAAGTTGAGCACTAGGCGTGCCGGCAGGATTTCCTTCCTGCATGGCCATCTGCACATAGTTTCGATGAAATAAATCAATAGAAAGTCAATATCCACAGCCAACTATAATATCACAATAAAGTATGAGGATTACTGTCCTGGTTTTTTACCACAACATGAAAGAAAAATACTTACTACAATAGCATCTAGAAAAGACAGTAAACATAATAGAAACAACGAACAAGATATACGAAGTACATAGAATAGTCAAAAGTTCACTAACAAAATACAATATATTCAACCTCCTAGACAACTTTAACCAACATGAAGTAGAACATGAACAGAGATGTAAGCGTGAAAACCATTTTCACCATAAACGAGTAATTTGATAGTTCTTCATATAAACTCTAAACTATTAAACACTATACCAACAATTCTGAAGCAATTCAGAAACCCCAAAGCTAAAACAAGTGATCAAACAAACCCATCACTGGAAATTAGATTTTTTAAACACCAAAAACACAAGGAAGCAGTTATTTATATCTAAAAACAATTAACACGAAGATTCAGAAAGATTATAATTATAATTACAATGATAACAAACGTTTAATCAATAAAAGATGGAAAACCCAGAAAACCCTTGATAGAAAAGAAGAGTATGAAGCCAATTTAATAACCAAATTGAGGTGAAAGTCGGGATCTAGCGGTTGATAGGCAGATCAATCGTATATAAAAAGATCAAGCAGAGATCAAATGGCATTAAAAGGAAAGGAAAAGTTAAGATCAGAAGTACCTGAATCGCGGGGGTGATTTGAGAGAGAAATCTGAGCTTTGAAAGAAAGCAGAGAGAGAGAGAGAGAGAGAGAGAGAGAGAGAGAGATGCCCAAAGAGAAGGAGAGTATGCCTGCAAAGTAGGAATTGAAGAAACAGCAGCAAGGCTGACGAATATATATATTGAAATTGTTATATTATTTATTACTATTAATACTATATTATTAATGGTTAAATTTATTATTATATCAATTAAAATTATATAAAATTGATTAAAAAAACTATTTATTTTTTAATTTTAAAATTAACATAAAATAAATTATTATTATTTTTAGAGAATTTTTTCTTAATTTCAAAAATTAAAAGGTGCTTAATATACAGTTTTGCAATTTTCTTCATAGGACATATTTACATCCGAGTAAACTTTAAGAAATCGCATATAGTGGGCTAACCCAGAATACCAAAACGCCTTTCCAATAGCCACGGAGTATTGACTTTAATGGGCCTCCACACTTTTACAAAAGCCCATTGTTCTGTGTGAAATTATTCAAAACCCATTGCACATGCAATTGTTTGAAAAGACACGTGATGTTCGGAATTATATGATAGTCGGTAACTGGTCGTCAGGTTGAGATACAGTCGAGTGGAGATTCGGTAGACTGTAATGGTTGAAAGAATAACGGTCGATGTGGGTATAAGTATTGAAATTATGATTTTTAAAGTTTTGGGTTTCTTCTAATATGTGAGAAAATTTTGAGTTTTTTTATTATAATTTAAAGTTTTTTATTTTAAATAAAATTTTTAAATTTATATAAGTGCGACATATTCCACTTAACGGTCGTTACGGTTGAAGCACTTGAAATGATAACATTTGTAACATTAAAAATCTGAATTGACCGAAAAAAAAGTATACACTTAAATATTTTTTATATTGTGCCTAGAAATAATTTTGTTAATTTTTTAAAATTTTCATATATTCATATAATCTGTTATTAGATATTAACTCAAATTTGAGTTAGAATTGAGTTGGATTTGTCAATTATTCTATTGATTGGAGATTACTTGGTAATTAAGTTTATTTAGTTAAGAATTCTTATGAGATAAGAATTCTTGATGACTAAGTATTTGATTATATAAATAGATAACATGTCTTAGTCTTTAGAATAATGAGATAATTATTTTAGAGAGATATAACCCTTTCTGTAGTTTCTATAACTTTTGAGATTTATTTTTTATTAAGAGAAAGTTTTCGAATTTTAAGATATACACGAGATACAATGTATTTGTACTCATCGTAGTTAATAGTGAATTTTGAGATTATTTTTCTTTTTTTATGTTGATATGTCTTAATCTCTAACCTAAATGCATTCAAATATCTAATTGAATATATATATTTTAAATAACTTAATTAATATCATTATCATTACAACATCCAAGACACGAATTCAAGTGCATTTAGATATCTATTTTTTTTAATTTATGAGTAGAGGAAAATTTAAATAGTTTAAACTTTATTGCATCAAACCTTATAGGGCTAATATAAGTTGTATAATTAGAATTAAGATCAGTATGATAAGATGATTAGTGTGATGATCAAACCTTTGAACCACCCATCTAATTGCAACCCAACACAAGTATGGTACATAGCCGTCCTATTCTACAGATCCTATAATAATATCTTATATACATAATTTGATGCCTGATTAAAAGCTAGGTTTTCTTTTTTAATTTTTTTCTCGGCGAATATGATTAAAAAAGAGAATTATACAGGTCTAACCCTGATTGAGAGTCTCGTTAAAAATCTCCTTAAATCTAAGTGGAGGGAAAGAGTGCTACTCAACCCGGAATGACAGAAGGAAACACAAGAACAGCAGTGTACAACCAAAAATAAAACGCAACGTACTGCTGCACTAAATTACTGAAAAACGGAACCAATATATATTTTTAATATTATTTTACATAAATTTATCATTTCTTCACAATATATATATTTTTTCTTCAAAATTTACCCCCGCAGTAATTAAAACACTTGAGAGGAAGACATTGAATATAGAGAAATTACAGGTGCGTTGCATGCATGGCCCGAATGCAGCAGACTGCAGTCTTTGCTTCTACTTTTATTACCAAAACTGATAAATAATTTTGGGACCCCCACGCATAAACTCCGTGTTTTTTACTATCCTTAACATCCGCTGTTTTCACCCATATTTATTAAACATTAAGAACTTTATATCAATTATCATAGAAACATATTAATATTAAAAGTAATTGTGAGAACAGACTTGTGTAACAGGTACTTTTTTCAAATTATGTTAAGCATTCTATATTTGAAACCAATCAATAATAAAAACAAAAAGTAAAATAAAATAAAATAATTACACCATTCTAAATATTTTCTTTTAACCAAGGGCTTGTAGCTTCATCTTTGAAAATGATATCATAATAAAAATATATGGAAAATATAGGAATATGTTCATAAACGGATGTAAGATTTTATATTAGATGATGAACTTTTAAAATTTTAGAAGGAGACAAACTTATGAAATTTTAAGCGAAAAAATATCTGAAACATTTAATAATTTCATATTTTCACGAGGCAATTGCCCTGATCACCAATTCGGTCCATTCTTGAATGCGCATGCGAGGGGTAGGCGAAAGTGTTGAAGTCTTGGGAGGGTGAAGAAGACTGAAGAGAGAGTGAGGTTCACTACTTTGTGAACAGCGGCTGCCTAACTTTTGTTTAATAATTGAACCATTTTTGCATGCTTTTAACTCCTTTTTCGTCTTCTAGGGTTTGCCGATACTGCTTTCGCTGGCAGTTAGGAGACTCATAATAACTCCATCACCAGACCAGAAAATGACGTCTCATAAACCTATACTCAACTACTACTACTACTACACCAACAACAAATACATGTACATTACGTAAACTCTTTCATTTCTTAGTATTTTAAAATATTTTTTAATTAATCACTGATATACAATCTATTGATCGATTAATTCAGATCGAGTACTACAAAAGCAATGATGACCCTTCCAACCCAGTTTTCTCCACTCACAAGCGTCATGGTTCGAACCCTTAACTTTACTTAAAGAATTTAGTGTCTCATCCCATTAGACCAACTGATTGTTGGTAAAAATATTTTTAATTCTATCCTGTCTAAATTCTTCACATATTTAGTGTTGTCTTGGTGTGTTTTCACATATTTTTCATGTTTTGTACTCAAATTATGTTTATTTTTTGTGCTATTTTCATGAATAATTTTATGTTAATATTTTGTTTTATGTAGGTTTTGATGTGTTCGTATTATTTTTATTTTGTTTCATATTTTAGTTTATGACATAAATACTTAGGAGATATATTCTAACAATATAAAATTTAACATATATGTCTCATTTATAAACATAAATGGATGTCTCTTGTTCCCATATGTAAAAGGATAAGGAGGAGGTAAGATAGTAGGCTGCCCCCAACACTAGGTTGAGAGCAGCTTCCGTGAGAGACCTCCAAATTATAAAATTCCCTCAATGAGACTCGATCCCACGACCTCAAGATTAAGAACCTTGTGCTCTACCAACTGAGCTGGATGGTCATAATCCAAATGAACACTCCATTATTGTTCCTTTTTCATTATTTTTTCTCTGTTTCCTTTTTAACAAATATATCATTTTTTATTATCAATAATCAATAACTAATCACGATGATGATTATGATAGTCGAGACCATTGTGTGCCGTTGAAAGTGACAATATGCTAATTATATACTCTAAATTATTATTATTGTTGTAGTTAATTTTGATCTAAACAATAACTAGTATATTTATTTAAGTCTAATTATATTATAATTAATCGTTATGGTAGGTGCAAATTATAGATTTAGTTTATTTATTTTTTCAATTTCATCGTTTTTACTCATATTATCATTACCAACTTTACTTGATGTGCATACATATGTACCCACACATTAGTTTGCACACTTTACGTTATGCGGGTTTAGAAAGGAACAATGGATCGTGTATAAAATTGCACTATATATAATAAGTATAGAGTTCAAATCATGAACGTAAGTATATTTTCTCCTTATTTATAAACTTTAAGGAAAAGAAGGGTGGCCTCATGCTATTAAATATGCTTTTAAGTTGATTAAACACATTTTGACGTCTGGGTTAGGTAGTCATCTATTATGCCTTCTTCCGATAGAAAAAAAAACAAACAAACAAACAAAGTGTGTATTCTTATGATATAAGCTTTTGTCAATCAGAAAATCGACATTAACACCTCAAACAAAAATTATAGATGCGGGGATTTTTGTAATGTATTATTCTTTTCCTTTGATTATTGTTTAATCGAAAGTGATATTAATCTTGATGTTGGTTGCTCACAATGGCACTAATTAGATTTTTTTTTGTACTATGTCATTTAATTTCTTTTCTTTTTTGAGTTTTTTTTCTTCCAATTTTGAAGAAGAACTTTTGTCCTTGTATCACACTTTTTCTTTGCTCTTTTGATACGCTTTTTTGCACACATTTGCGTCATTTTGATGCTCGCACAAAGACCTTCACAATATTTATTTTCTGATTGGTTTGTTGGTGATCACATGTAGTCATATCCCTTATTTGGTAAAAGATTGCTTGCCGATTTAATAAGAATTGCGTAGCGAAATAGCCTGCCAGATAGTTTTGTTCCCTCACCACTCCTTTATCACTTCGTAAAACGTTTTGTTCGACAGAGACAATGGATTTTAATGAAGGTTACTGTGTTCTTTTGATGTTGGACAAGATTCTCAAGAGAATGTTTCGTTTTTTCTTCGTATCTTTGGTTTTAATATTTTTTATATGAGTTTTTTTGTGTGCGACTATTGTCCCTATTTTTCTCTCTATGCTTAGGTGCGTTGTAATTTTGATTCCTTCCATTATTTTTAGTAACAAAATCTATTTGTAATTATTTAAAAAAAACATGTATTTTAAGCATTAATTGAGTGATTTCGATGGTTAAAAAAATGTTGTTATCTTTAAAGGTTACATGTTCGATACACACGTTTATAATATATGTGTGCATTATTAATAATTAAGAAAAATTCTAAATAAATAATATCTTGTAATTATTCTAAATTATTTTAAAAAAACACATTTTTTGGATTTGCAATCGCAATCCACTGATTTTGTGCCACCATTTCAGAAAAAAAAATGTTACACTTTTGCATGTGCATTCAATAGATAAGTTGACGTTTATTTATTTCATTTTTTTTTCAACTGTGTTTATTCAAGGGGAAAAAAATAAAAGAAACTCGACAGTAATGCAATTGAAGCCATTAAATCTTGATTTAATACAATTACTCGTAATACGTTACATTTTCGTTTAATTCGAGTTTTAAATCTCAATGTTTATACTTAATTTTATATTAAAATTATTTTACATAATATTTTTTAATAATTTATAATATCTCATAATTTTAAATTAAAAACAATTATCAAAGTATATTAAAAATTTACAATCTCCAGACCTAATTTATATCGAAAGTGGAACAGTGCATGGAAGTAGTTGAGGTTAATAGATTGGTCATAAAGTAAAGATAGATTTATCAAGAAGTAAAAGGGGATTTAATTAGCCGATTAGGTAATTATTCACATTAATAGATGAGAGCCAGTCTATAGCTGACTATTAAACCCTAATTACAATTAAATAATTTTTCAATTGGAACTTAGGTATATCTTGATACTGGACTGGAGGAACCACTTCTGACTTAAACTTTTCGTAACCAAAAACTATTACATAGCTTTCTTAACATAAAGGGAAGACATGGTAATTGTTCTAGAGTTTTGGATTTGCTAGTCACTTGGCCATAAAGTATACTTTCATTGGCTCATCGTACAAAACTAGGAATTTATACAATATCTACACCGAAATGAAAATTTTCAATAATTTTTCTAACCAGACGAAGCCAGGATTCCAACTCAAGGGTATAATCAACTATGAAAAATGAGAGAATAAAGTATAATTAATCATAAAAAATGATGGGATAAATTCAAAATAAACTAAAATTAGTAGCTCTAATATATGATTTACCATATATTTTCTAATAAAAAAATGAGGACAATGGTGTCCGGGACTAGGCATAGCTTCGTTCCTACCCCTAACTAGATTCGCTATAACCCTCATATCTTACAACTGAAATATCTCTGAAACTGATACGGAGAAAAACATTAATACACCTAAGTTTATTTTTAAAACCTAGAAATAAAATCAATAAAGATGACATAAATCTTCAACAATACAAAAAAACAGAACACCAAATTATAAAACTCGACACAAACTTGAAACCAACACGCGAATGTAACCAGAAGAATCAAAGACTCGTAATACCCATCTAAAAACACAAACTCCGACACCCTTTTCATTTTTGTTATATATAAATATATGTGTGTTATCCCTTTAAATTTGGAGATCAAAACAATGAAGTAAACATTGGAACTTCCCGATGAGAAGAAGTTTAATGGCAGTAGAATGACCCAACAAGGTGTGTTTGAAATCTGGGAGCATTTTTAATCCAAAAAATTATGTAAGAAAATCAAAGCAGTGCACGTCCTTTCTCCTGATGCCATTTCTCCCCTCCTGCAAAGACAGGGATAACTCATCACAGATTTCTGTTTATGTGATTAAATCAATAATAGAGTCTTGAAGGGATCGATCGTTGACTTCGTCTCTTAATTCATCACTTGTAATTTGCTGCATAAATTCTATTCGTATTGAATATTTTGCTGTAAAGCTCTGATAGTGCAGGTTCATAGGGCTCATCAAATTGTTAGGGTCTTCTTTTTTTCCTTGTTCCGATACAAATATGGAGATTTAAATGTTCAGCTTTTCAACTGCTGCAACTGTAAGCTATCTCTGAAACTTAGCTATTATGGCTTCTGGTTTTACTACAGTTTTTTTTGGGGGGGGTATTAACAAATTCGAGATTTATCAGTAGATTCATGCAATCATTTTTCAATAAATCAAAATTTCAGAATCAGCACTTATGCAACTCAGGTCATATTCCATTTCCCTAAAGTTCAGATTATCAAGAAATCATTTGCAAACTGAAGTTAAATCGACTGAGGAAAATGTATAATATTGTATTCGATATAAGTTTACAAGGTCCAACCTGTAGCTTGCAAATCTCAGTGCTTCCTTAGATCGAGTGGTCCTTGTTGAAAGAAGCTATACATACGTGTATATATATATATATATATATATAGATATAGAGAGAGAGAGAGAGAGAGAGAGATTGGTCCCTCCTCTACAAGGTATAGGTAAGTAGACAGTTATCTCTATAATGTAATTTTCCTAACCAGAACTTTTGAACCCCACAATATTCTGATAAAGCATTTGGTTCCATTTTAACCTAATTCTGCTTAAATTTCCTTTTCTTTTCTGGTTTTAACTTTTCAATGTAGCATAATTATATATATAAGTTGGAAAGTGGAATTTAAGCAAGCTAGGCATGCATTATATAAAGCTATTCTAGTTGCAGTAAAGCATAAGCCTTCTTTTCTAGTATGTATTGAATGGTCCCAAATATGTAAATTTGTGAAGTTAGACTTTCTACTTTGTGTGCTATTCAAAGCATGATGAAATAATGTAGATGACCAAGAGATGTGGTGCAATAATTAAACCAGTGATTGTTCAGTGTGTGGTATACTATGAATTATTTGAATCTATATTATTCGGATTTGAGATAATATATTTAATAAGATAACTTCGAAGATCGATGTGTCGGCTCGCGTGATGCCACATGGACATAGATGTGCCGCTGCTTTTCCTTTTTACATTAACATCCATCATGTCTGCAGTGGAATTCCAAGCATCTTTATCTTTCTCCCAACAGCTGTGTTTTCTTCTTCTTTTTCTTTTTGTTAGGTTTCTTCTCAGCAGAATTGTTCTTTAAGCGTTTGAAAGCTGAAATGAGCTTTCCATCTCCATTGCTGTCTCTGCAACTTTCTCGTACTTCAAGTTCCTTACGCTTCTGAAGTATTGTCGAGAAAGAAGACAAACTAGACCCGTATATATCTGCTGGAACATTTGCATCTGTTACAATTTTATGTAAGTTTATCATATGCATCGATCTGGGTTTTTTTAGGGCAAAAACTGGTTTTGTTTGATTCCCAAACTCATCTTTTGTTGGAACAAAAAAGGGAATTTCTTTGATTAACTTATAATAGTTTCAATTGCCTTTAAATTTGTTTTTGAAAATTTTACCCTAGTTTTAAACCCTAACTTTACTTGGTTAAGAAGCATGAAGATAGGGCAAATCTTACTTTGATCTTTAAACTCAATTTATATGTATATGAAGAAGCATGAAGTAGGGCAAATTGATTGTCTGACGGCTGCTTTCATATTATCTTCAGCTTGATAATCATATATTTTATGAATGATGAGAGGAGTAAGATGATCTCGAGTTCAAGGGAAGCAAAGCAAGAGGGTGAAACCAATGACGGCGGTGGCGGCAGCAAGTTGTCGAAGGGGCCATCATCATCAAGTTCAAGGCAGTGGTCATCGTTTAGAAACCCAAGGATTGTGAGAGTTTCGCGTTCTTCCGGAGGCAAAGATCGGCATAGCAAAGTTTGCACGGTAAGGGGATTAAGGGACCGGCGTATTAGGCTTTCGGTGCCAACGGCTATTCAATTATACGATTTGCAAGAGAGGCTCGGTGTTGGTCAGCCGAGCAAGGTGGTGGATTGGTTACTTGAAGCTACTAAAGATGACATCGATAAGCTCCCTCCGCTTCAAATGCCTGTGGGATTTAATCAGTTTCATCAGCCATTGTTGGTTCCTCATGAATTGAATAATCCTCCATTTTTCGATCCGAATTCGATGTTGATGAAAGATGGTGAAGATGAAGATCAGAGAATAGGAGCTAAAAGAGATAAGGGGAAATGGATCGATCATGGAAATCATGGCGGAAATATTGAGGATCGTCATCAAAGGGATTTTCCATTAACCACTCATAATTCCCCATTTCCTGGATTCCTAAACAATGGTGTGCCTTTGAATTCATATTATCATTGGGAGCCTCCAAATCTGTCTTTGTCTCAGTTCGGACACAATGGATTAATGGCTCCCCAAACCGAAAACTTCTTCAACGGTAACACGACGAGTGTCTCATTGCCGTCTTCGTCGTCATCGACGGTTCCAGCGACGACAATGGCTTCATTTTTCCACACGTATCCTCCATACAGCTCGAATCCAGACGGAAATGCCAATGATTCTAGGCAAATGAATTATCTGCAATTGTTGAGCTCAAATTTTCTATCCAGTTCCGTCACGATGAGTTCGATGAAACCTTTTCATACACAAGATGATGAAAATCAAGGAGATGATCCAAATGATACAGATTGCAGATGAAGGAATGATTGCTTGAACTGCATTTCATGCAGAAAAAGTTGAGATCATATTACAATAAAGGTCCTTAGATTTATATATATCAACAAGGAGAAAAGATGGAGCAGTGGCAGTGATTTTCAATTAGTTCTTCAGGTGGATTAATTAAATCCATAATGCAGCAGGTAAGAATGCTTAATACTTGTGCATTATAGAGTTTTTCATTTGGTAGTTGATTTGTACTTTGCATTATATGTGATTCTAATGTTTTAATTATATATATATATATATAGGTATGTATGCATGCATGTATAAGCCATGCATGTTGAGTAACTGCATCTTTGTCATGAAAATTAGCATTTATATGAAGAAATGCTCCTTGTTATATATGACATGCATATATCACATAATTAGTATTAATTACTTGTCAACTGAGTTTGTGATTCAGAGACAAAATATTTTTGAAAAACAAAGTTTTAATTGAAATTGTATTTAAAATTCAAGTCTCAACTTATATAATTTATTTTTTCAGTTTAGAAGCTCCTTTATGTATAAAACTTTAATTTAATTGTATAAATTTTAAGATCAATAAGTGAAAATAAATTATTGAAATTATCTTTTTTATTTTTTCATAATTTATTTATTTATTAACATTAATGTTAGTAGAGCAAAAGGTTATTAATCTTGAGGTCGTGAGATCGTGTCCCATGGAGGGTATTTCATAATTTGGAGGTCTCCTACGGAAGCTGCTCTCAACATAGTGTTGGGGGCAGCCTACTATCTTACATCCCCCTTACCTCATTACATATGGGAACAAGGGACATCTATTTTTTTTAATGTTAGTCATCCATTTTTACTTATCTAACAATTACCACTACATTAATGGATCATACATCATAACATATATTTTAATAAAAATATAAAATATGTTATTGTAAATAAGAGAAAATGACGTATAAGTAGGGATGGTTATGGATTGGATCGGATTTTTGGCTCATCTGAATTTAACATGAAAAAATAAACCCCTTTACTCGTTCCCAACCTGGGTTTAGGAATGTTACACCCGACCCAAAATCCAACCCAGTTTTTTAGGTGAACTCAAACTCGACCCTACACACGTATTTTTATCAGGTAAAATAAAAACTTAATTGGAAAAAATAATAGAGTATTATTGCAATTATCCTTACATAAATAAAGGATAATTATAATATTATATCGAATCGGGTCAAAATTTTCACCATCAACTTGAATCTAACCCGACATCATCCTTCAAAAAATCCAAATTAACTCGAATTTATACTTGAATTTTCAATAAAAAAAAAATTGATCAAATCGAGTTGAAACTCATCAAACTCATATCAAATTCCTATCCCTACATACAAGTGTATAATAATTCAATTGCTACACGAACAATACGTAGGAAATAAGAGAAGTTTAGAGCCAAAGTTACAAATATCTTTGAATGATACAACACAAGGGTGTATGAATATGAAATAATAGAATACAAATGACTGCAAATCTGACGACGACAGACAAAGACTGGAATGGGAGGAAGAGTGATAGTCGCAAGATCCAATACATTCAATTCGGATTTTGACGTTGCAGTCGCTCGCATGGATGCTTTGTGGTCCTTTTTCCTGCCTTTCACATTCAATTTCCGCTGTATTTTTGGACCCAAAATCTATTAATCATATTCATGTCCCACCACGCTTAATCATACTTTCTTAAAATCCACGTAATTGTTATTCATATTAGTTAATTCAATGTTTTAATAATTTTACGGTTTAGTCTCGGATTTCTTTATTTCTTTAATTTCTTTTTTTAACTCATTTTTATTAAATTTGAAACACGTGCTCTAAACCATTATAGACTGTTTATGTATTTTAAATTCCTATTCCCTATAATAAGTTTTTTTTTTCAATTTAATTCCTCAACTTTGTGTGGTTTTATTATTCGTTCAGTTTCTCTTCATTTTCAAGTCTATTTTTTATAACAAATATTTTAGTACCTAAATAAAAAATATTGTACAAGTACTTGAATGAAAAAAATTGATATGATTTAAATATTTTTTAAAAAATTAAACTTTTTTATTATTTAACATTCAATATTCAATTATTTATAAATTGTCTTATTCAAGACGCACTTATTAGTTTTTGGATTTTTTATTAGTCAACTGTTATGTATTAATATTTATGTTATATAATATATATAATCTATAAAAATAAAATAAATCTTAATACAAAATGATTTAATGTTTTTTCTATTGATAAATACAATCAACCTGCACATGCTCCATAATATCACAAATGGCTTGTAAGCAGAATACTGTCTATTATTGCTTTAGGGTTTCCGAACTGCTTAATGATAACTCTTTTTTTCGAACAATTATACTCATATATTCGAGAGGATTTTATATAATATCTAAAAAATCTAAAAAAATAGGAAAAAAGAGTAAATTATTGTTTAGAAGTTAAAGAGTAAATGGTTAAAAAATAGATAACTACTAATAATTAGATATTAGAATTTTCTCACATAATATAAAATTTATAAATTTTACATATATTTTAAATTATTTGAATTTAAATACTGGAATCATTTTTTTATTTTTTAATAAAAATTCTTCATTTACTACTATTAATATGACATAATTAGATAAAATATAGTGTCTCTCTAAAAATACCAAAAAAAAAATCAGAATGAGTTTAGGTGCTATACTACTCAACAAAGAAGCCCATCTACGTTGGTAGAATCTGGCTTTCTTCCAAGGTCCATTTTAACACTGTAGATTAGGGCTTGGCTTACTCATTCATGGCAGAAGAGTTCTAGGGTTTTAACCACTTTCCAAAATCAATGCTCAACTCTTTCTCTTGCCACCGACTTATTTTCACCCTATTCTCCAAAACCCCATTTCTCTAATTGTGTGAACAAAATGCCGCCATTGAAGTCTATGCAACTCCGTCGGCTGCTTCACCGCTGCCTCTCTTCGCCTTCTCCGTTTCAATCCCACGCTTTGCTCTCTTCGAAACCTCATTTTACGCCAACCCAGTTCCCTCTAATATCTAAATCCTTCTCAACCCAAAACCCTAATCCCCAAACCCCAGATCCTGTTGCTTTATCTCTTTCGGCTGAGCTCCTCAGTGACCCTTCTTTAGATCCTCTCGCGATCACCCCAAGACTCCAGCTTCACTTCTCTCATATCAAACCAACCCCTTTGTTGATCTCACAGACCCTTAATCTCTCCCCTGAAGCTGGTCGAACTGTTTTAGGGTTTCACGATTGGATTCTATCGAACCCCGACTTCAACCACACCGATGAAACGCTTTCGTCTTTCATTGATTACTTTGGTCGAAGGAAAGATTTCAAAGCTGCCCATGATCTCCTCGTCAATCAAAATTCTGTTGCGGGTCCTAAAACTCTTAAGTCATCCATTGATAGGCTGGTTCGTGCTGGCAGACCAACACAAGTTTTGAGTTTTTTCGAGAGAATGGAGAAAGATTATGGGTTCAAAAGAGATAAAGAATCACTGAGGTTGGTAGTGGAGAAATTGTGTGGACATGGGTATGCAAGTTATGCTGAGAAGATGGTGAAAGACACTGCCAACGAGATATTCCCGGACGAGATGGTATGTGATTTATTGATCAAAGGTTGGTGTGTTGATGGGAAGCTTGAGGAGGCTAGAAGATTAGCTGGGGAAATGTATAGGGGAGGTTTTGAGATTGGTGCAACGGCGTATAACGCAATGCTCGATTGTGTTTGTAAGCTTTGTAGGGCAAAAGATCCATTTCGGCTTCATTCGGAAGCTGAGAAAGTTCTGCTTGATATGGACTTTTATGGGGTACCAAGAAATGTTGAGACTTTTAATGTGTTGCTTGATAATCTTTGTAAGATTAGGAACACTGAGGATGCGATGAAGTTGTTTTTTAGGATGGGGGAATGGGGTTGTTCTCCGAATGCTGATAGCTACTTGATTTTGATTCGGAGTTTGTATCAGGCTGCTCGAGTTGGTGAAGGCGATGAGATGATGGATGGGATGAAATCTGCTGGCTTTGGTGATCAGCTTGGCAAGAAAGAATATTATGGCTTTCTTAAGATTTTGTGTGGAATTGAGAGGATTGAGCATGCCATGAGTATTTTTAAGAAGATGAAGGCTGATGGGTGTAAACCTAGCATTAAGACTTATGATTTGTTAATGGGGAAATGGTGTGCTCATAACCGCATTGATCGAGCCAATGTTCTTTATAATGAAGCTCTGAAAAATGGGGTGCCAGTTGTACCTAAGCCCTATCGTGTTGATTCAAGATATATGAAGAAAACCAAAGCTGTGAAGAAGGAGAAGAAGAGGGAGACTTTTTCTGAGAAAATGGCTCGAAAGAGGAGACGCCTTAAGCAAATTCGACTAAGTTTTGTGAAGAAGAGTAGAGGGAGGATGCGCAGTGCCTAAATTTACCTAGTTACTTACAGAAAATGTAAGTGGATTGACAATGTCTATTGGAATCTGAGTTTCTTTTCTGATTTTTGGTTATTTTTCTTTTATGATTTCTGTTGTAAAATTTTCGTTCTTGTTTTTACTCTAGTATTTGCAACAATAGAAATAAAAAAGTATGTTGAGTAATTCATTTTACTCATTCTTTGCACCTTACAAATGAGGATTGATAGTTTACATTTTGCTGTGAAATGCACTTTTACTTTGCAAGAATCTTTCAAAGAGAATAGCTGGACAAATTGTGGATGCGTATATAGGTAAGTTTGATCCTAGGACGTTGTCACTTTCTAAACTTTACCATTTACAGAAAGGTGTTGTGCGACCCTGCAATGGAAATTGGACATAAATTCACCCTCCTATCAGTCATGTTTGAAATAGGTTTGAGTTATGCCACTTTGTCCATCATCAATGTATCAGGAATTGGAAATTAGAGTGAAACTTTGACATCCTATTGATCGTGTTTTCCTTATTTATGATGCATTGAGCCTGGCCAGCTGAATCATAAGAAGTTTAATTTTCAAGTGTGCTACTGTCAGGTTCTTTTCTGTGTACTGCTTTTGGCTTATACTTGAATTAGCGTAGTGCTGTGCTATCAATCTACCAGGAAATGGATATTAGACTGAAAACTTATCATCCTATTGGTTGTGTCATCCCTTATTATGATGTATTGACCTGGCCATATGAATCATAGGAAGGTCAATTGCGAGTGTGTTGTCCTCCTCCTTTTGTCTTGTATTTGATATAGGTTCGAGTTTGGTATTTCTTACAGATTGGTGGTGTTATTATTCTTTCGATCACTTGGATTGCAGAACTTACCAGCAAAATCTGTCTATTTTTGCTATTGTGTTGATAGACTGGTAAGATGTTGGAAAATGACCAGAGCTGAGAGATTGTAAAGATAAGCAAATCTTAGTTTCTTGATATGATAAAAAAAAAGGTTGGGAGATAAAGAGTGTGTATAGTAAATGAAAGAAATGAAATGGGGGCAATATGAAATGATAGATAATACAGACGACTAAGCTGTGGGCTTCCTATCTGTTGCTCAGGCGGTAGCGTTCACTCATATTATTGAATGGATGCCCACCTTTTTTGATGGCCTTGCATAGCCTGTAAAAGAAGCAGAAAACTATTTGAAGGGAGCAGTGCACCGGACCGGAGTTCTAGGTTTCAAATGTTGGGCCATTGGAATGCCTATCTGATTCAACAATATGCTTCTTGTATGTGCTATGGGTGAGTTTTTTTTAATTGGTTTGGATTATAAGATAATATTTTTCGAAAGACTCTCACTCATTAGATAATAAACGTTCAAACATTCCTATAGAGATGTTGTGCTCAAACTTGAAATCTCTAGAAATAACCTCCCTTTATTTACGTAGGGCTTTTTTGAATATGATATAATGAATATTATTTAAATCCAAGTATAATTGTTTAATGTGATTATATTTAAAAAAAATTATAATTGGGAGTAAACCACATTATGATGTCAAATTCTTAGAAAGTAATTCATTTAATTTGTGATGATGATGATGATAGCAGCTAAGCTCGGTAGTGGCTGGGCAATGAATAATCATGTCATATTTAGGGGGAGAGAAACGTCCTCTTCCTAGCAAACGACACAATTATACTATATAAAAAATAAAAATAAAAATAAACACATTTTTTAAGGTTACATAATTCAATTTTTATTATATTAAAATTGATTATGTATATGATTTATCTTATGATTTACATAATATTATATTCAATTGTAAACATAAAAAATTCAAGAATTTTAACTGGATACTTGATATAAAAAACTTGAATATCAAGGGGGAAAAAACTTGATACTTGTTTTTTTATTATCATATCCGTAAAGTTAACATTATTAATATAATTAATATACAAATTGATCATGTATTTTATAACTTTTTTAGTTTGATATTTAAACATTCTTATTATCTTATTATTTAAATTTTAAAAATAATTAATTATATAAATATTAACTTAATAATTTATGTATCAATCAAATTATTAATATAATATTAATTATTTAAAATATTAATATCATCAAATGCCACATAGCATAATTTAATTAATTATTAAAATATTATATTGAAAATAAATATATATATATATATATATATTTAAAAAATTAAATTTACATATCAAATCAATCTAATTTTTTAAAAATTAAATTTAAGGGTTAATTTCTATATTAAGTTTTGTTAATAATACGCGAATGTTTTAACTAACGAATAGTAAGAAACCGACAGCTTGTACAGAGATGGGAGGGAGGGATCTGTGTCTGTTTCATAGTCAACCTCGGTACTAATAAATCAGCTATTTTTTTTCTTTCTTTCTTGTGCAGATCTTACGCTTCATCACCTCATAAAAAAAAGCATCTGATAAGCTATCGAGCTCTTCATCAACAGTCATGAAGACCGTCTTTTCATCCATTTCCATTATGAGCTTCACCCTTTTACTCTGTCTTGTTTTCCTGCTCCACTTTCACTTTGTGTTTGGTTTGGAGAATGTAAAATTTTTGGGAATGAAATCCACATTCTCTTTTTAATTGGCTGGGAATATCATTTTCGGTAATCTTACATTATTAATAGTAAAATTTTTTGGGTATATTACTGGAAATGTCATTACATCTCTTTCTTTAGGTATTGTTGGTGTAGATGCTCGTTTTTGTCCGGGGTCTAATATAAGATTCAAAGTGGATTGCATGACTAAAATAAGTATAACAGTTTGCAACACCCAATTGTCCCTCTTCAACCGTTTCACCTATAACTGCAGCAAATAACCAATTCAGATTTTTTGGGAGCCACGTAAGAAGCAATGAGGCAAACGGTTATGGAAAAAGAGGGTAAAAACTGAAGGAAACAGTTTGTAAGTGGGGGGACAATAAGAACATAAAAGAAATCAGTTTACAAGGAGATAGACATCTAACGTCGAGAGGAACCATTGGCAAGGATTGACAAAAAAAAGAGAATAACAATTCACGGGGTCATCAGGAACCATTTTTCGAGCAGGAGAATCATCAGAAGCCATGAACAAGCAAAAGAAAACACAAAAAAGGACAGGGGGCTTTTCGTTGTAACAGAGGGAGGGGTGTCGATCTTTCCTTCGAGTTTACAGAGAAAAATCAATGTAAAAGAGGAAAATAAAGTGCAACTCTACCATTGTATAAGAAATCGAGAAAGCAACGCAAAGGAAATCGAATTCTTGCAAAGGTTTTTTTTTCTCTATTTATCATTTGCAGTTTCATTTTTTTTCGTTCGTTTTAGTAATTTCCAAATATAAACGCAAAACCATAAATAAGGAAAAGGATTTGGGGTTGATTTACCTGAGTAATGCGAACACCGATAGAATCTCAGCAGCTCCATCTTATAGTCGTACGGGGTCCAATCATTGTTGAAAGTAAGGGCCTTGGGTGAAAGAAAAAGTGAGAGGGAAGAGGAACAGAGAATCCTGGTTCGTGAGGGTTAGCTTAGGTGTTTCTTTTGTAGGAGTTAGCGTAGGTTTGGAGTGAAAAGGCCATCGGAGATTGATGGCCAAGCTTCGATCGATGGGTCTCGAAGTGAGAGAAAGGGTTCTTGTCTCACGGTGGTCGGCATAGAGAGTTGCATAACTCTCTGTTTGAGAAGATGAGAGAAGAGACATTGAGCGTGAAGGGAAAAAGGAGTCTGATGAGGTTGTAGGTTTAGTTTACATTATATTAGATTTAATTTTAGTTAAGTTATATATTAAAACTTTAGGGTTAATTATTGTTAGCCACCATGACCTTAGGGATGGATTAGGTTTAGGCCCTCATAACTTAAGCATTTTCGTTTTAACCCTTGTTTTAATTAGTGATATATACGTATATATATTTTTAATTTATGCTTCATTTCCTTTTAGTCCATTTAGTTTATTTGTTTGTACTTTGTATAGTTTATGTATTTGATCTGTTGTTTTATGTTCTTTTATTTCAGTCATATGCATGCTTATGGTTTATTAGCAATTTAGGGTCTGAATTATTTGTCATTCATGTTAAAATGGTCTGAATTTGTGTAGTATACTGAATTTTACTTTTTTTTCAAATTTAGTCACTACATTTATGTATATATATACTTTTTAAATTTTTAGTTTAGCATGTTATGTTTTTGTTTTTATATTTGAGTCATATTTGTACATTGTATGTTAATAGGCATAGTTTATAATTTGTAATTAAAATATACGTATATAATTATATATATGTCACGCAATATGATATTTTTAATGGTTTTTAATTAATTTTGACATGACATACTTTTTGCATAATTTACATGATAGCCTCATTTGCATAACTCGACATATCACATAATTAGATTAAGGGTAATACCCTTTTAATTTAAAATTGTTTCAAGTGGGCAGTCATAACTGATTTGAGGTCCACTTTTAATAATTTTAAAATAAAAGTGTATCCCGAAAGTGAAACCTAAAAATCGATTCTTCGCTTAAAATTTGGAAACGAAAGAAAAGGAAGTGTTCGTTTATTTAAATTTATTGAGAAAATGTTGTTATAGCTTTTAAGATCTGGTCTCGATATTTGTAAATAATCGAACATTCTTTATCTTTCTAAAACGACTCGATAATTTTAATTTAATTTATTTGAGTGCTTTTGAATGTTTTTTTTAATTTATATCTTTGTTTTAAGGGATCAAAAATTAAATTAAATTCGAATTTGTAAAGTTCATTGCAAAGACGTTAATTAATCGATTAGGTACCGATTTAGGGCGTTGTGGGGGTGCTAATCCTTCTCCACACGTAACTGACTCCCGAATTCATTTTTTTGGTAACGCAGACCACAATTTGTTGTTTTAATTAATTTTTATTTAAAATGACAACATTTTTTGGATGCCCAATCACACCCTAATCAAAGATTGGTGGCGACTCTTCGAACTATATTTTTCGATCGTAAAGGAAATCCAAAATTTTTCGAAACGAGAGGTCTTGTAAATCACATTTTGTTTTTTAAATTAAAAAGAGATAATTAAGAATTAATGTGGTTTTCAAAATCGCACCCTTTTCTCACCTTTAAGAAAAAAATCGTTTCGACAGCATGGCGACTCTGCTGGGGACATTTTTTTAGAGAGTCAGGCCGATAGTCAATTAATTAATTGTCTTTGCAATTGAAACTTATAAATTTGTTTTAATTTGGTTTTTGATCCCTTGTTTGTTTTTTAATAAGTTTTGTTTGTATTTTGATTTAATTCGATTAACAATTAAATAGTTGTACTGATCTGTTTGCTAATGGTTTCAGATTATTTGTGAATTGAGAATTGATTTTTGAGTGCTTTTATTATGTGTTTTTTCGCTTTTCCTCACACACTGCACAGTTGCATTATCATAACATGAGCTAAAACCCCGCTCCGTCCTATTTAAGTAGGAGTGAGAGACTATGCCCTCGTGTGGTTTTCACCTCCGCATGGGATAGTGGATCGCTCCTGGAGCTCACTCCTTATGGTCCTCGTGATGGTATTCACCTCCGTATGGACATAAGGAGGTGTGTTCCCTCGAAATTGAACTCGATCCCCTAAAGCCTGTGATGGGCCAGGATTGAGGGTTCGGCAGCCCAAGGGGGCACCGACAAGGACAATTCCAGAACCTATTACTTTAGAACCGAACTCAGCATATAGTGAACATAAAGCCCAAACTTAGGTCGAGCCAAACCCGAACCTTAAGAGTCCCGTGAGGAGGGTACACAAGGAAAATCTTTTTGAGTTATTCATTTTCATTTTTTCGAATAAATGCATGTGAACTAGATATCATGCGGTTAGGTTTATTTGTCAAGCAAGCATGCGAATTAGATATCATGATGTTAGGGTTTTAATGTTCAAACAAAGCATGGGGGTAGATATCATGTTGGGTAGGATCTACTAAAG